ATGCAGCTCACACTGATCGATCCTGAAAGGCAGTCTGGTCAAGCGGAGGCTGGACTACAACAGTCTAACAAATAGCTGGGCTGACCAGTTCACCTCCAGCTCTTTCCAGCTACATCTCAAAGCAGCATTAGCCGGCGCTGCTAATGAGCTATTACAGCGGCGACCTTTGGGACAAACTCATTACCTGCTGACAATAGACGGCAGACAGAAGCTAGATTCATTATCATATTTATCAGCGCCGCCTTCCGTGCGGCTAGCTGGGGTTGCTGGTCAGGAGGCAAGCTTTTTGTGTGTGTGTGTATGTTAGAGAGTAAACGCACAGGACAGATAGTACTTACAAATACTCACAGACAATTACAGGTCTGTGGAAAACTATTCCAGTGCCAGTCTGATGGCTCTGAATCTTTCGAGGGGAATTATCTTACATTTTATGAGCTTCAAAAAGAGGATTGTGCTTTAAAACAGTCCATTCGGCTCCATTGATTGGTTTTGACTTTTTACCATCACCGGCTGAAGCTCCGGCCCTAAATCTGGCGAGAAAGCTCATTGCAAACCCATCGCAGTGTGCTGGATGGTTTTTCAGGATGGACGGCCACTTCAGGCTTTGCAGCTGTTCCATCTGTTCAAAGGAATCCATCAAATGCCCATCTACCCCTTGCTGTTTCTTTTCCAGTTGAGCTTCAGCGGGAACTTTACAAACGTATTATTTTTTTTGGCTTCAGGGTGTGGAAATGAGTAGCTGGGGAGCCTTGAGAAGGATTTGAAAGAGTTATCGAGCTTTGGAGGCGGTATTTGAATGAATGTAGAGAAGAAATATGGAATGGGAAGAGTTCGTCAGGATTCAGAGCAATTAAAAAGACAGAAAAATGTTCATTGTGTGGCTTTATCCAGGCTGTGATTGGCTGCAGTCTCCCTGTTGAGAGCATCGTGGGTCCAGAAAACCAACACAGCACAGACAAGAACGTTACCCCTTATGTGAAGATGCAGTCTGACTCTTTTAAATAACAAAACTGTGACTAAAATGAATCTCTTCCAGCTACAATCTTCGGGAAGAAATCATATGAAATCAAAAATTTTTCTTGAAGCTGTAAATCAACGGGACTTGTAACATCTAGCGGTAGCAAAAGCAGATGCACATCCAAAGTGAAAGACCACTCACGGAAAGTGGCAGTCGTGGTTTGAAAAGCATGGACTTTATTCCCAGCTATGCCCCGCTTTTCAGTCGATCGTTGACTAAATCCAACAAGAAGAGGCAAAGTTACGTCAACACAGAGCTTGAGTTTAATTTAAATGTATTCACTTGAACCACAACAAGAGTCCAACAGGTCCCCTTGATACCAAACAACTCTAATCAGAAGCAGCAGGAATTGGTGGTCGTCCCTACTATCTACATCTACAAGTCAGACCAGAATTATAACACAAATTACTTCACAAATTACTTAATGTAATTCCTTAGTCAATTGAATCCGATGTCAAAGAAGACATGTTCTTTTGTTGTTGTTTATTTTGTATTCCAAAGACATTGTCGGCCATCTTTGGGACACTGAAGGAGTAATTAACCCCTTCCCCTCTGCAAAGTTAAGTCAAAAATCAATTGTTGAGTTAATCCATTCAAAATTAACAGGTCTGGGAGCAAAGTATCAGGCAATCACGTTTTCTTGTTTTAGGATGCTGATGCCGTCAGAGCTCAAAGCTCCATAATCTTTAAACACACATTGATACAATTTTAATGAGGCTTCCTTGTGTATAGATGTATTATTTGTATCCATTTAAAAGTGAATGGGGAAGGGACAATGTTAGAGTAGGGAAAATTTCCCTCTAGTCTTATTGTTTCATTCGGAGATCTTAATCGTGGTTAGCCTTTTAATGACAACAAAACCATAGTAAAACTAAATAAATCAAAAAGAACATAATACAGGTAGGACATTTATTAAAAAATACAACGAGCAAATGCAGTTATCTGTTGCTTTAGAGATAACTCACAAACTCAGCATAAGGCAGAGTGGGAGAAGATGTTAACGTAAAAAATGAAGGAGGGATGATGGGGTAATATTCAGAGGAAGAATAAGTGATTAACATGGGAAGTTGTAATCAAGAACAGATGGAAGGGAGGGATGAAAACTGGCAATGTCAAAAAGGAGGCTGGGAGCTAAGACATACACGGACTGTAAACAAAGATGGGGGAAAGGAGGAGGTAGCTTGCAAAAAAGGGAATGAAATGGGAGAAAATGGAGTGATGGAGGGGAAGAAAAGGGCAGAAGAGCATGAAGAAAGTGGAAAAGAGAAAGGTGGAACGAGATCAAGGAGCCAGGAGGAAGAGTCGGATGAAGGAGAGGGATGGCTGAAAAGAGCGTGCTATGAGGAGAAGGAGGCCATGACGGGGAGCCATTAATAATTTATGATAGCCTCAGCTTTTCAAAGCAGCCCAGCGGTCCCGCTCCCTGCTTTCCCCTGACGTTTAATTTGTCTGAAAATCAGCGAGTGTGGAGCCTGATTATCGTCTCCGTCTGGCAGCGACTCTGCCTCAATCTTCCTGACACCGAGGTGAGATCACAAGCTGTTGAGTACACACATGTCAACCTCTAATGTTTTAGGCTCCTGGAGTGGAAGCTCAAATGTACTGGCACAAAGTCTCTGTCTGGAGCAGTTTGAACCCCTCTGAATTGTCTGAAAGTACAAATACAGATGATCTCCGATGTGGAGGCACCGAGCAGCCTCTGATGTGAGCCTATTTCCTCTCTACCGCTCGGGCTTTGGGATTGGTCCTGTTTGAAATCAGGGTAGAAAGTTGTTTATCTCTCAGGGAGTCTCAACAGGTTTCTTCCTTCATGTGACATGCAGCGGGTTCAAAATGAGACTCTCACGAAAATAAGTTACACTTATTTTAAGAAGCGTTAGATGTTTCCAAAATCTTCAAATTTACATGGATTTATGTCTGTTATTTTGCACGAGTACAGTGTTCATTTTAAAGAGAAATTAGTTTCCATAGCTGTGTTTTAACATAATTATTCACCATGATGACGTTGAGGGCAGTTTATCTGGAAGACTGACTACATAATGTGCACACTAACATGACAACAGACGATGAAAAGGTGCAAAATGAATTCAATTGAATAAGATGTCTTTTACATCAAGCAGTGGTGTAAAGGTGGAAAATAAACGCAATGCTGCCATCTGGTGGTGATATTGTGTCACAGCAAGTATTAACAAAGCAAAGTCTTTCAGTTTTATCTTTCGTTTTGTCTTTCTGCTTTTTATACATATGGAAATACATTAAAAAAATCACATGACGTGGAAGATTTTACCAATTAATTTAATTGTGAGGTATACATGTTTTTCAAACCAACGTGTGGTTTCAAAATGGTTTGAAAAATACCCAGAAGCTGAGTGGTTGTCTCCAAATACTAACTCTGAGATGGTTGGATGAAATTTACTTTGTACTTTATCTTAACTTGATATATGAACCACAGATGGAAAAACATATCAGTCTCAGCTGTTTACATTCTTCTTTTAACATTTAGACTCTTTCAGCTTCTAATGTCAGTTTCCCTGGTAAAGACGAACTGGACAGACAGGAAAGCCAAACACAGGTTATGTTGTTTTGTCATGGGTCACTGGACGGTTGAAATCTTAACTTGTAAGTTTCAACACTGATGACGTTTGACTAATACAGCTGACAAAGTCACACTTTCTTCTGCTCCGTTTAAAAGAGCTTGTTGAATTAAACAGGACAAGAATAGATGAGTTTGTGAAGTAAAATCAAGAAAACTTATTGGAAATAGTTGCTAGTCATGCTAATTCTTGCATAAGTTTTGAACTCATCCACAATTGATGCACGTTCACATTTTAATGAAAAGCACCAATTGTAAGGGTGAGGTTGGACTCTGAGCGACATGCTATGGTGTCCTTGAGCAAGGCACTAACACTTAAACCACTATCAGCGCCTCCTCCATTCATGGATATTAAGTCAAGGCAAAACACCAGGAAAGTCTGTAAAGTCCTAAACAGACAACACAAATACTGAAACAGAATTTAAAAAGACTTTGAATAAATACTCCAGAAGCAAAAAGAAAATTTACCAACATCAGGACTCAGAAAGACTAAGACTAAAGATAAAGAAAATATCCAAACAAATAATACCTGTGGGAAAAAAAAAACACGAAAGAGATAAAAAGACTGAATCTCATTTCCAGCCAACGGCTCCACACAAACAAGATAAAGAAATCAGATAAGAAATGAGCAAAAAACACAGCAGGACAATCACAAACTGACAGTTCATGCACTAACTGTGGAATTATCTCAGGAATCATTCGCCACATTAGGATTTAGCCCTGTGCGTAATGCACAGCAATTTGACACGATTAGCACACTGAACACGTCAGACAGATGTGCATCACAGCTGTCTGACGTTCTCAGTTGTTGTTGCACCTTACTGTGTGTGATGTTCATTTTTACAGCTGCATGTTATCTCTAGATTAACACTGGCGCATTGACAGTCATTTTAATCATTTAAACAATATTCATAGTTAGGCTGTATTTAGTTACTTCTGTTTTTCTGTTAGCTTGATTTTTTTTTTATTGTGATTTTTTTCCCACTTTTGCATGGCAACTGTTGCACAGCATTTTTGCTCTGGATAAATAAAACTTGCTGAAAATGTATCCTACTAGAAAATGGAGTGGGATCGGATGGGCGACACTCCAAGGTCTGTGTGGTGAAACCAGGTTAGCTACAGCAACTCTCATCGATTTCATATTTAGTCACTCACAATGTTACCAGAAGCAGTTTTTCCCAGTCAGAATAAGTATATTTTCAGCCTTCTTGTGTTAATGTGTCACACATGACAAAAGGCCATTTGGACTTCAGAAGCTGTTCTTTATAAGGCCAATGATAAAATGTTCTTTCTTTAGGTTGTAGCTCGTCATAAATTATTATGCAAATATGCTATTTCACAGTATTAAAAAATCATATATGTACAAAAATAATGCAGTTATTCAGGTTGGTGGAAACTTTGAACATTTGCCTGAGGAACGTTCATGGAAACCAGTAAAAAAAAAAAAAAAAAGATGATTTCTGACTTTTGGCAGTGTGTGCTAAATTGATCCAAAGGCAGAGAGTTGAAGATGTTTCCTGTCGCGGCTTTCGGAAGAATGGCTGTCTGTCTGTCTTTATGGCCTGACGGAGACTTTGAGGTAGCTCCGGGTAAGAATGACGCAGCTGCTGCTGTGTGAAAAAGTAGCCGTCAGCAGTTTAGTGCCGGGTGAAGTGGCCATGATGGACGTCTCCTTCTCCATCTTCTCACCGGGCAGCAGGAGAGCCAGCCTGAAGGACACAGGAGACAAACTCAGTTTCTCCCAATTTCAGCTTCAAAAAGATGTTTTTAGATATCTGATGATTCACTCAAAAGCCGCCAGCAGCGGTACAAACTGAGCAGGAGCCTCCATTTTTTATGCATCCTCATAAAAGCAAAATAATTATAGATGTGCCACTTAAAAAGGTTTAATTACCATAGTGAGACCTCCACTGGGTCATACAAAAAAAAAGGTTAATATAAAAAAAACACTTCATCCAACATTATGTGATTTCAATTCTACCAAGGAGCAAAAAGGAAAAAATGTCTGAGTTCATTCCTGGTCCACTGCTTAATGGTGAGCCAAAGGGAATCAGCCCTCTTTCAATTCATATGTCAGAGAACAAAACAAAACCTTATCTCAGAACAACCTGAGGAAAGTAAGACAATGGAACACAGAATATTCTGGAAAAATGTCTCGAAATGTCTGATGTTAACACGTCAGGGTTTTTTTGTTTTTTTTTATCCTTTTGATGGGACTAACGGAAAAGAAAGGAGACAATGTGAGAACGCTATGAGATTTCTTAAAGATATAAGATAGCAGTCAAAACAACAACAATGTAACAAAGACATGCCAAACACATTCTGAGGATTGTTTCCTCCCAGCTAATGACACGAAACATCTGTGTGACACCACTGGAATGCGTGTCTGTGTGCCCTGCCAACACCTATCTCACGAATCTGGTCATTTATGTGTGTTTTTCCTTTAGGGCTAACTCTTTAAGAGCCTGACCTGGCCTCCTGTTTCCCCTGCAGCAGGCCGGCGCCCGTCACAGTCAGGACAGGGCTGAACAGAGGTTTGTCAAACCGGTTGGTGAAAGTAGCCCGGGCCGTGTGCTCCGTCCTCATCTGGATGCTGTTCCCGCCTTCAATCTGCAGAGCGGTCCCCAATAAAGGAGCACAGAGCAGACCCAAAGTCATACGCGGACAAACGGAGGGTTAAAACGATGAATACGCACAAGCGCTGAGGGCGGGAGGCCTGAATTTAGTCACTATTTTAAAAAAGAGTTGCAGTGCTGTGCATCATGTCTCAATCTAAAATCTCAGAAAAAAATAAAGTGGTGAGAATGAGCCACTGAGCACTGTGAGATGGGACACATAAATTCAAATTAGCATTAAATCCGCATGAGTTTCAGGTAATGTCTCATCTCTGTAACGGTATGTTGGGTTTGTGCTGTTTTATTTGACCTCATTGGCATTTTGTTAAGAGGGCTGATGATTAGTTTGTGGAAGCTATCAAATACAGGTTTTAGTTCTTTTTGTTGAGCCAATAGCCCATATTTTCCCATGACCTTTATCCAAGGAACTATAGCACACCAGTTTGTAACACTAGGTATTGTTTGGTGATAAAAATCAAAGAATTGCTGACAATGGATTTTATACGATTACTGATGAGGATCAGCTGCATTTCAAATACTGTAATAATATAAGAAAAAACAAATAAATACTGCATTATTTTATATCCGTGGGACAGACTTGGAATTAGTGGTATTGGTGGCCATCTTGATCATTGAAAAAACATGTACTGATAGTACAAAACTTCAAATATATTCGAATATGTTACGAAAAGGGGTCTCAGTAATATTATAATTATAATCAATATTAGTACAACCCCTTAGGTTTTATTCTGGGTGTTATTTAACTACCAAGAGCAAGACAGATATTTAAAGTTAAAAAACCTATCCATACTATATATCAGTATTCTCAATACCCACTTATTCCAATTATTATTGTAATAATGATTAAGGAGATGGAAATCTGCCGTACCTCTGTGGTTATACATGGTGCACTTATGGGGAACTCTTCAGCAGCCAGGCCTCTTTCTTTGGTCTTCACGTCCTTTATCACCACGGCCAAGTTAATAATATCATCACCAGCCAGGAAAGACTCATACGCCAGGTAAGGAATGACGTGTCGGAGCGTCAACACTGCAGAGAGGATAAAGGATGGCGGAAAGAGATGGAAATAAATGCTTGTTTCTTCTGCTGTATTTCACATGTAAGGAGGAGTGTTTCGTATTCGGTCACCTTCAAATGGCCGAATGTGCATCTGTTTGTGTGTCTTCCAGAAGCTCTCCAGTGGATTTTGGTTGTACTCCTTCAGCTGAGCGTTGACGTGTTCTGCCAGGAGTCTGGCCCTGCTTGACCTGTTGATGACCGTCACGCTCATGCAGACGGGGTCACCCAGTAAAGGTACCCCCTGTACCTTTAGGGACACCTCCAAACTGTGGGTCACTCCTCCTGGAGATAATCAGGTGTTTTTTTGGGGGGGGAAGAGATTAACAACCGTCCAAATTCATATTTTTTGAGCTGAAAAAAGAATCACTTCGTAGGTTTTTACGGAATTACAGCACTGTATAGTTTTAACGTTTGGGAGGTTTGGTTGCATAAAAGGCTTTCAACAGAAAAAGCCTGCCATTTAAAGGCCTATCAGAAGGGACGTTTAGTAAAAGTGAAGAATATTTCAGTTAAAAAAGCACTTGATCAGCTTTTAAAATGAAATAACTGCTTCATATGGATTAATCTTTAACAGGACAAAGAGCAAATGGTGCATGAAACAGCATGAATATACAGCCTCAGGCATATAGCCAGGATTTTATCACTGCTTTGGAAACACAATTATCCAACAGACTCGTTTGTTTTTACTGGTAAATGCAACAATATAACAAATAAAGTTTTTTCCATTGAAGACAAAACTAAGTATGTTTGGGCTTAAATACCAGAATGCGCCTCTTTGGATGCCAGCGGGTTGTGACTCATTTTCTGTTTGTTCATGCAGCTGACTTGCTTGTTTGCTAAGAAAAGAAAAACAAAGTTCATCCGGGTTGTAAAAAATAAAAGACTCGAATCAGGCCTTTTTATATCACTAATGCATATAATCTGTTTTCCGTCTTACATTTGTTGCACTTATAATTCTGCGTCAGATTCACCGGATTGTCCGACTGGACGCTTTTGGTGAAGATCAGCTGTCCCACAGACTCAGAGTCCACTTCCCTCCCCACCACCAGCCCGTCGCGCACGATCAGTCGGACAACGTCGGCGTCCACAGAAGCATAGAGAAACGGGGTGTCGTACGGCACCTGAAGGCAACGCTGCTGGATGGCGGCCACCGGACAAGGCCCGCAGCGGAACGTCCCTGAGAGAGGAACGTCCTTTGATTTTTGACGTCAATGTTCAGTTTTTGTATATCAGTTTTTATGTAGTATTTTTTCTATTCTTTCCAATCATTTTGTGTGATGCATGATGAGTCAGCATCTACCTGCGCTCCTCTCCTGGGGGGTCGGGTCCACTACCTGCCAGCCATCAAACTCTGCACTGAGGTCTGATCTCCTCATCCAGCACTCCACCCACACGTGGAAGTTCCTACAAAAAGACCAAACTGTGTATTGCACAAGCAAAGAAACACATACTTTGCCCAAGCAGAGGTGGGGACTGACGCTCATAGTGTGGTGTAAACCCCATGAACGCCTCTTTTACGCCACTAACTTTTTAATGAATTCGTTCACATGATCAAAAGAAAAACTCAACATTAGTTTTATGTGCGTTTGTTTGGACCAATCTAGATATTAAGACACAAACTGTCATGTTTGAGACCCACCAAATGCTGTCCTGTGACAGGTTGAGCTTCTCCCCCCCGCTTGTGTAATATTCCTCAATCGCGGTGTTGCCGTCACTGTCATGAGCCGCGTCGAACGTCGTCACAACCCTGGACGGAATCCCCAGAACTCTCATCACTGGAGGAAAAATGTGGGCAGTTTGAGCGGAAGTTGTATTTTTTTTACACTCCCAGAGCTTTCCGATTCTTAAAATTTGGGTGAGCCCACCAGGCCCACTAACCGAGCCAAAGCGGCCCACATAACCTAAACCTAAAGCTGCTTAAAAAAACAAACAGTAAAATGTAGCTTTGTGACTCCAGTGCACAAAGAACCTTCCAGACAGATTCCTTGCTTCTTAACACTGATACTTGGTTTGTAATTATATTTTATGACCATGTCATCCAGTCCGAACTAAAAAGCTCTGAACTTGATGTACGACAGCGGCATACCAATAAAGGAGACCTGACCGGAATGTTTTCAAGAGATTCTTTTCAATCTGACTCTAAAACCTGCTGAGCAGAAACCCTGGAGCACCAGACTTTGATGCCTGTGTTCTAAAGACATGTGGACCCACACTGTCCTTTTACATAGGGGTTATTCACAGTACCTGTGCAGAGCACTGAGGCAAAGACCCAGCACTGTCCATAGCGCACCGGGCTGCACCTGGAGGAGAGCCACTGCTGCAGGATCTCCGCGCTGCCGCTCCAGTCTGTTGGCGCCACACCATCTCTGTAGCTGCCGTCCCACTTCCCCGCCAACACGCCCTGGTCGTCGTTGCTGTTCACCTTAAGCACCAGAAGAGAGACAACCTGCTCGGCTCTCTCGCTCTCTTTGCAACAGCAAATATAACAGCAAAAATGTCTATTTATGTGCAGTAGTTTCATAATCCAGGCTTCAAAGTGTGAGAGAACTACCTACCCCATGACACAGGCATTTTAGGTATTTTTAACTTCGGTATTTTGAGCCCTTCTTGTAAAATACAAACAAACTATGTACTCCTTTGTGGACCGGCGTCAATATTTTACAACCTGTCGAGATTCCACTTAATAAAGATGCCGGGGAACTCGTCTGACAGCATTTTCGTAAATGTTTGGCATAGTTATTGGGAAATATACTATAGGAGTGCGTCGGTGTCCATGTTTGCCTAAATCTGTGTACCAGGCCTCACCATAGCGCAGACGACCCTGCTGAGGTAGACGGGGTCTGCTCGTGAGAGGTAGTCCCTGCTGCTGTCGCCTCTGTGCGGGGGGCTGACCTGCAGGAGCATCAGGCACGCCTCCAGCACCCCGGGCTCGTACTGCAGAAACAGGAGCTCAGATAATGCAGTGCTCTTCCTTTTAAAAAGCTTCATACATCAACAACCTGAGACACCTCATTCCCTCAGACTAACCTGGCCGAACAACCATGGCCGCTTGCAGACCTTTGCACTTGTGCCCATGTAAAGCAGTCCATAGTCATTCTTGATGTACTCTTGTAAGTGCACGTCTAGTGGCATGTATACCGGATCATCTGAAACAAAGAGGCAGGGGGAGTAGGATTGAACGTACAGCAATGTAATAATAAAGACAGAAACTGTACCCAGCCCTTTTACGTGGACCCACCTTTCAACCAAGGGTTGCACAGTAGCACAAACTTTCCAATTTCGTGGCTAACTCTGTGCTCTGCGGTCTCGATGTGGACCAGCAGGTCGTAGAGAGCCACCGAGGACTGAACAGGGGAGCAGATGTGGATGGTGACCGATAAAGGCTGCACGTTCCCTGGGACCGACGTAGCGGACCACCGATGTGGACCAGACCTCTGTCCAGGGAACTGAACCGGAATCCATTCTGACAGACTGCCTGTGAAGAGAAAACGGCATGTGAGACTACTCACAATTTAGCTTTGTCATCATTAAACAACTGAGCAAACAACGACTGAATCACTTCCCATTGAATGATTTATAGAATATCATTCAGTGAAATGATCCGTCTGTCTTACCTAAAGAAATCTCCAGAAACAGCCTCTCAGTGTTGGGATCCCACAGCCGGCCATGAAACCGCAGAGTGACTTTGAAAGGTTTTCCCCGTCGAACCACCAGGAAGCTTTCACTCAACCCCTGGGTCTCATGTGAAGCGTGGTTTTCATCCAACTCAAAGTTCACCAGCTTCAGTCTGAAGTGGCCATAATGGGGGCCTAAAAAGCAGGAGAAAAGACTCAAAAGTTGTAGAAAAAAGTGGGCCAGAAGGTCCAGAAAGTTTGTGAAAGGCTTATGAAATAACGTTTTTAATTAAACTGCCATACTGTAAATGTGACGGAATACTTCGAAGGGGGGGGGGAGTGGTGGACTGGATGAAGAAAGCCTGAAAATGTCTTCATTTTGCCTTAATCATTGTACAACTAAACAGCTTTTCCTCAGTTCCCTGAGACATCAGTAAAACTGTAAAAATGTTAACAGGCAAAGTAAAAGCTCCACTGTTTGCAAAAATCTCAGTCTAAATCTCAGTAGTAGGGGTCAGTGGAAAGTATTTACAGCTTGTTTCCAAAACAAAACAACCAATGCTACAGATTAAAACATAGAATAATCAATAGGTCAAAAGGCAAAAGTTTACAAAGTTCAATTCAGCTTCATGTGAACTCACCACCGTTGTGGCGTCTTGCCTTTTGCACGCAGTCCATGATCTGACAGCAAGACTTGCAAGTAGCAGAAAGAATGACAAGAATGCTCCTCCCTCCTGATAACAGATGCTTCACTTTTTCTTTCCTGAGCACTCTTTTAGCTTTTAACACCATCCTTCTTTGGACTAATGAGCGAGCATGCTCCTCTTTTTCTGAGGGTTTTCAGAATCCCAAAATGAGCTGTATGCACATTCTGAGCCTATTTTCAGCTCTTAGATGGCTTATCTTGACAGCTTCCACTTCCATTTTTTCCTTCCAAGCACTGAAAAAACAAAAATGATAAAGTTTTAATGAATAAAGACAGGATTTTAAAGGTTTGCTTTAGTATGGAGCACAGTCTTGACTTCTAGTCATAGAAAAAAATATATTTTAATGGAGAATGCTGTTACGGGATCAGTTTTAATGGGGGTACATGTCTTTTTACATTCAGGCCCTCAGCTGAATAGTTTATCTTATGTGAGAGAGTGACTGAACCAATGACTCAGCAAAGAAATATGATGATAATCATTTTCTTAGGTATTTTGCCAAACAGAGGAACAAACTCTCTATATGTTATTATATGTAATATGTAATTTGATCAACAAAGATTTAATAAAATCACAAATATAAGTGTGTGACCATTTGAAAGAAATATGGATTGAAGACGAGTAAAGTAATAAGCGGCTATAGTTTATGCTAAGCTTCATGTTGCATTCAAAGTACCTCGGAACAACAACCGCTCGTGTTAAAGCTGTAGTCAATGTAGAACTAGCTTGACTTTGTCACACAGGTTTGCAGCACTGCTATCCAACAAAATCTACGGGTATGTCTATTACGAGGTATGTGATTCGACTGACTGGAGTTATGGCGAGGTTAAAAGTATATTGTCACTTTTTTTGAGGCGCAATAAATTATTTTTTATTTGTTCGTTTATTATGTAATATACGTTTTTTCTATGTGTGTATGCATGTGTGAGGAGGGTATAAAGGAAGATTCAATGGGTCTTAACCGATGTTCTTGGAAAAAAATCAATCTGAGACTTGCATTTCTACAGATATTTTCATTTACTGAAACATAGATTTCACTATATCCAACTCTGTCTTAGACACAAACTGAAATCCTCAAGCCAGTGGTCAGAAAGTACTGCTCAACCAATCAGAGCTCAGGAAGTAACCAGGCCCTTCTCGGGGGCTCAGCTGGACGCTAAAAATGTGCCAACTAAAGACTGAAATAACCCTGCATTCAACTCTCTTACTGGCTGCCAGGTAATATGTGAGAGATTTCGTTTAGCTGAAACAGGCAAAAATACAAAATCCCTACTTATCGTAATAATAGCGCAATAAATTCATGATCAGCAGTTTTTTTTTATATAAAGATTGTAAACATTTAAAGTGTAATGAAGCTAAAAGCTACTATCGTGACTGTATCCATGCACACTGCGAATAACTGCCTCTAGCTTGGATATCAGTAGATATTAGGATATCATATATAAGCCCAATTAGGTTTAAAATTAATTGGAATTCCTTTTGTGACATCTATATTAACATCCCACAAAAACTGAAATGTCACTGAACAGGTCTGAGATGTCCACAGTTATCCGCCTGCTCCACACCAGCAGAGGGAGCAAAAGCTTTTCCCAACAACTCACCGTCCTGACACTTCCTAGTTTCAACAATTTGACCAAGAGTCCTTAAACAGATCAGTGGTCCACAGTTAGTGAGAACAGGAGGGGAACAGAAAGAAAACAAACAAACAGTAAGTGTATTTTCATGACTTCACACTAGCAGAATGTGATCCTGCAGAGGGATCAGGAGCCTCTGGTACATGCAATGTCTGTGCTATGTTTGTGTTTTTACTTGTAGATGGAGAGCAAACAGCTGTCCAGGGCGGAGGCGCTGGGCTTCTCGGGGTGCAGGCACGCGTGTCACGTGATGCTCTACTCCGACACAAAATCCCGACTGTTTGGGAGAACTCCCATGGAGCACATCGTACTGGTGAGCGCCGGGATCTCAAATGAGTCCCCAGATTTTAAGTGAACGGACACAATCCTCCTTTATATACACGCTGATCAGTGTGAGAGTGTGTCATGGCCTCTGTTACCCCCCCCCCACAGATGCAGATGCGCTTCGATGGTCTGCTGGGTTTCCCTGGAGGGTGAGTTATCACCCGGGCCTTGTTTTTTTTATTTTGGCACAGGTATGCTCAGTCCTAGCCCCGTCAACAGATGTAAGCATGGAAACATTTCCACTTTTGGGAACAGGAAAACATACATGTGGTCCGTTCTGGACTTCAAAAGCCGTTTTTATGAGCCGTTTCCCAGCCTTGTCTCGTTTAATCAGCATCCTTCTCAATGTGAACGACTCGTGCCGTTTTAGCTGTGATTTACAGAAATCAGTGCCAGAGTTTCTGGTGGGCTATTTTCCAACATGCTGACATTTCACAAGCAGGCCGGAAATGTGAGAAATCAAACTGACACAAGCACAACTAAAGAAAAACTGCTGCCGCTAATAGGAAGGGTGGTGAGAATTGTCTGGTTTTCCTCCAACGCACCACAGTCTACCCTTCATTATTTACACAAACACTGAAGTGAAGCTCGTGCAGATGTGCAGTAATCTAACTGAAACTTTAGTCAAGCATATCAAATATTTGTGAAAATATCGAAAATGTAATGGTCGTTTTCCGCCTTGAGCCGTTTCCGGTCACAAGTCATGTGACCTCAAAGAGAGCCATGTCCAACCCTCTCTGTCATAATAAACAGCGTTGTTTGACTGATATTCAGTTAAAAACATAAACTCAAGCCCCTCTGTAAATAACTGTTAAAAAATGTAAGCGTTTATATGCACCATTGCAGTACTTTTGTGTTTGTTCCTCACCTGGACTTCTATCCCCAAATTCTTTTCCCATCTTAACCATCCTATCTAAAATTATTGCTGTGGTCAGCTGAATGAAAGTCTGAGAGGAGAAATTGGGATATAACATTATTTTAAAACCAAAAATAAGATTATTAAAAACAATTAATCTCAGGTAAAAAAAAAAAAAAGCTGACTAAAAAGCAGGTGTTTACAGTTAGGCAGGTGTTCCCAGGTAGGCAGGTGTTTCCAGGTAACCAGCTGTTTCCAGGTAACCAGCTGTTTCCAGGTAGGCAGCTGTTTCCAGGTAGGCAAGTGTTTCCAAGTAGGCAGGTGTTCCCAGGTAGGTAGCTGTTTCCAGGACGGGCAGTCTGTATAGAGGCTGGTTTGTATTTCCGGGCAGACTCCTGTGAGCTGGAGATTGGTGAATGAGGATACTCATGTCAATATGTCAGTTTCTTTTAGTCACTGTGTATTTGTGGGTTTCGCTGGCCTCTGCAGCCATTAGTTTCTCCAAAATGACCATTCGTAGTTAGTGCGTGTGCCTCTTTCATCGGTGCTTTGGCCTGTGATGGACGGGCGACCTGTCCAGCGTGGAACTCTGCCTCTCGCCCAATGACAGCTGGGATAGGTCCAGCCTGGAGTGACCTTGAGTTGAAATAAGCCGGTACTGAAAAATTACGCCTGCACTGACTGGTGAAGTGCTTCAGGTTGGTCTACGTTTTGAGGATATTCAGCATAGTCCCATAGAAATAAGCTATTAAAGGGTAAAACCAAAAATGTATTGATATTATGAAGCATTAACAGTACAGATTAGATCTCAGTTAGCATCTGGTTATTGTTTTCTTAATAACTGTTTTATGATCAGAATAAAAACCTGCTGGAAGATTGTGCTGCAGGAGGCCGTAGCAGATGTTTTTGTAGCCTTAATGTAAGTTGTATTAATAAACCCTTCAATTGGTAGATTTTCCACATAAACCTGATTCCAGATTCCCTGCAAACAAAACTCATAAATCAGACCGTTCACGCAGGTGGAGCCTCAGCTTTACCTGCAGATAGACCTGTGTCAGTTGTCACAACCCGGCTTAGTCGCCCGTGACAAACACAGGAAGTGCAGGAACAGTGCAAACGACGCCGGTTATTTAGGCAGGATCAGCTATTAATAACAGTGACTTAGCATATCAGTCATCTGAATGTGGGTGTGTGTGATCAGTGTAAAGTGAAAACAGTTGAAAAAAGTGGGACCGGATGCATGGCAGGAATGAGACTAAGGGACCACTGAGGGCCCAGGCTGGGCCTTTTTACAGTCCAGATGGACTGGGCCCAGGTGCTCCAGCAAAATAAAACCATCTGCTGATGCACAAGTGAACCTAACAAACACGATGTGTGAATGAATTCGCTCTGAGCTAAAAAAAATAAATAAAAAAAAACTAGAGGAAAACACTAGTCTGTCTAAACTGATTTAAGAGGAATTTAGAAGCAGCTCAGCCGTTCGGATCGATAGTAATCGGGTTTCATTTCAGATGTTTGCTACAGGAATCTTAAAACCGCCTCGCTGTATGTTATTACAAATCTGCCAACTCAGCAGAGGGAGGAAGTGAGTCTCAGTCTCAGTGACAGAAGCAGCAGATATTTAGCAGGTGAACCACACTATGTTTGGAGACGTCAGACATAATTAAAGTCTCTCTAAAGAATTGGCTTCCTTCTTGCATCTTCGGTATGCAAGCTGTGTCACTATGCATATTATTAAAGAATAGTCTCCTCTTTTACTCTGCTTCTTGGTCAGAAGGCCTACCAAAACAAGCGTCCCTAACGCCGCTGAGTCATCAAATGCACTCTGACACTTTGGCTGCAACCTGTCGGTGTAGATTCTCAGTCATGCAGGTCATTCTAATCCTGCGAGCCGAGATAAGGGCACCCTGACTGCTCCTTTAATCCTCAAGACGTTTCACCTCTCAGCCAAAATGCTTCTTCACTTCTGAACTAGCTGGTGGGGAATGTGAGCTAATAAACAAAAAGGAATTTTAGCATTTCAGCTAAGCTCTTCAAACGCGAGGATATTTTAACTGGGCCTTTGTCAAATGGGTGAATAAATGCTTAAATGCAAATTGGTTGTATTTCCAATTAGTTGTTGGGCTAACTGAGAAGCTCGGAACGGTTTCTGATAAGATGCCCAGCGTGTAGTCTAAAAACCAAAGAAGCCTTTCGGTGAGAGCTGAAACATCTTCAACATCTTGTTCAGGCCCCTAGCATAAGGCAAGGTGATATAAATACAAACTAATTAAGAACATTTGATACAGTATGATAATATCAACAGAAGGTATTTGTAGATTTTTTTTAGATGAAAAGCTAGCACATGAGAAAATGTGTATCTTTTTACACAGTTTCACCGACTGTGACCGTGAGGGAATTAACCGAGGAGGTCAAAGGTCAAGCAGCACTTTGAGTAAACACAATCAATTCGTTAGACAAGACCTTCTGGTTTTTGACACAAGCAGCTGGTCTGTTAATAGTGACAGGACACCTTTTTTATTCTAGAAACAGAAGGTAAAATGATATATGTGAGTACCCGGGTTGGTAGTGAGTGAGGAGAGCCTGTGGTTTAGACCGTGTCTGGAACATGGCCGCCATGTTGGAAGACGCCATATTGGACCAAGGGGAAGTTTTTCCAATGGGAAAGTGGTCATGTAACACATAAAAGAAGAGCAGAATTGTCTCAGAAATCGATTGCCAGTATCAGATTTGTAATATCTCTTTGTGTACAAACATTATTGACGCAGAAATATGAAACAATAAAGGCAACTGAACTTTGTCTATGAGGCACAACTGAAAAGTGTGTCCAGTGACTTTTGACCCACCCTGTACATTATGTCAACATCAGTTTATCTTTTAAAATTCCATTTATTTACCTTTTAGTACCAAGTCACTGAAAGTGAGACACAACTTTGATGAAACCACAAAGTAGCAACAAACTTATACATGAAGGCGTAGCCATGTTTTAATGACACTATAAGACTCATTCAATGGACAGACAGGAATGGATTTTGTTTCCAATAAAACTCGGGGCTTATTGGATTTTCAGGGAAAAACCTACCAAATCCCTGGAAAAATTGTGAGAAATGAGAAAGAAAAGGATAAGTTGGCTCAAATAACTGAAAGGGTGACGCGGTGATGCAACAGGCTTTTCAATAAGTTTGATTTATCTCCGTCTCTGGAGACATTATGGCTCAGTGTGTGTATCTACTCATTCATCTGATGCTGACCTTTGACCCTCCTCCTACTCATCAGGCTCGTGAACCCATCGAAGGAGACCCTGGAGGCGGGGCTTATCCGGGAGCTGCTGGAGGAGATTGGCACGGAGATACCGGTCACCGCGGAAGACCACGTGGAGTCTTGCTTCGCCCCGGGGTCCTCCCCCTCCTCCCCCTCCTCCTCTAGTCTTATCATCCACTTCTATGTGAAGAAGATTGAGGAGGAGCAGATCAGGGAGGTGGAGAAAGCGGCTGCGTCCACCGCGGCGGACCACGGTTTGGAGGTGGCGCTTCCTTTTTCCCGCGCTTCGCTTCGCCTCGCCCCGACCTCCCGCTGCGTGCCTCCTCACCCCCGTTTCCCCCCCCCCTCAGGTCATGGGAATGGTCAGAGTCCCGCTCTACACCCTGCTGAGAGGCTCGGGCCTGCCCTTCTTCCTGTCGCACTCCTTCATCGGCAACGCCCGCTCCCAGCTAATCCGATCTTTGCTGCGCCTGGGCCTGGTGGCCCCCGACCGGCTGCACCAGGCCCTCGCCCACGCCCTGGAAATGCACGCCCGCTCCGCCGAGGACCTGCAGGCCGCCCTGGCCTTCACAGAGGTGCAGAAGAGACTCTGACGTACTGCCCACACCTGCCCACCCTCAGTGTTACTGTATTTTACACACACATACATTACTTCCTTATAATAACCACCTTAAAGGCACCATCGGCTCCTTCACCTTTTACAGGAAATAAAGTTAAATTGATGCCTTTTCAACTCTTCGCTGTTGATTTTTAAGCATCAAAACCCATTTAGGGGGAAGTTTTTTTTTCATTATTCCAGCTGAAACTTTGACAGCTTTAGGCTGCTGGCAGCTTATAGAAAAAAAAGCCACACGGTGACGATAAACCAACATAAGATGCCGGGTTTCGTTGCCTAATATGGCACTGCTCAGGCGCCTTTGTGGCTTTCTATAGGTGCCAAGATCAAAGGGGCGTGATGAGCAGAAATGTGTGTCAAGAAGTCTTTGTCTCGGTGCTGCTCTCCTTTTTTCGCCCATGAAGTTATTACACAGCATTGCGGGTGCAATCCAAGAATTAATTATGTCCGTGACATACCGTACAGCCTGCGGGCGAAAGATTCGATTCTGTTTAAGTGGACCCTGGGTGCGCGTAACACGCCTGCACCAGATGCCGGTAACCTCATTCCCAGACAATATTATTTTGCTGGCAGAGCAGAGACCAGAGCCCAAAACCTTTACGACACCGGCTGTATGGTGTGCTGTTGTCGTCTGAATGCTTCTCCTATGAATCACGGCACGATCCTGCAAAAAAAGAATGGAACAAAACATTGACTGGCTGCCCGGTATGGGCTGACCACAGCACATCGGCCAGAAAAGACACTCAGTGACAGAAGGGATCCTTCATCTTGTATTGGGCTTTGATAAAATCATAGATTTCATCCAGACTTATACCATTGTGCAAAGACTGGTGCACCCTGTGATTTCAAAAAGAGCCCACACAGATTGATTTGAGCATTAGTTCATGGAATTATCGATACAGGCCAAATCGAGTAGGGGTTTTTTTTTTTTGGGGGGGGGGGGGGGGAGTTAAGTCGTGCAATCTGCTGTTGAAAAAGGCTCGACGTGCAGAGCTGCAGACAGGAAGCCGAGGAGACGGGGCAGGGGGGGAAAGAGAAAAAAACACCACGTCTGTGGTCGCGCTCATGTGATAATGTGGGTCTTTTCTGTAGCGCCCGCTGGAGGATATGCCTCCGCGGAGCGAGTAAACAGCTGCATCCTTGCGCTCGAGTGCGAGAGGAGAAAGGATGCTGTCATGTGACGGTGTCAGGGGCGAATAATACAAGGTCATCAGAAACACATTTGGAGCGAAAAAGGCGAGGAGGGAGGGGAGGGAGAGGTGGGGGCTGGGCAGTCGGAGATGGAAGGATGGATGGATGGATGGATGGAGGGGGAGAGAGCTGGAGCAAGGGATGCTGAGGGAGAAAGGCGGTATATTCATAGCAGCAGCGGTATTTATAGCCGCCCAGAGGAGAGGAGAGCTCGGGGGGCGCGGCTTGGGCCGTGGCTTCCCTCGCTGCCTCGTATGACAGAGAAGGAGGGAGGAGGGAGTGGGAGGAGAGAGGCAGCTCTGGCGCGAGTGGAGAGGCCGTTTGGCATATTTTACTGTGGGGGGCGGGAGGGCTGTATTCTAGTGTGTGTGTGTCTGAGAAATGAGAGGAGGAGGAGGAGAGTACTGAGCTGAGAGAAATCTGTCAGATTCAAACACACTGCTCGGCGTGAGCGCACGCACGCGTGTGTGTATGTGTGTGTGTGTGTGAGATACAGAGAACGAGGGATGAGGAGAGAGGCGGAGAGCTGAGGAACAGACAGAAAGAGACAGAGGAGGACCACAAAGTGAGGTATGTATGCCTGTCATTCCTGCTCTTGGATCTACTAACAACCTGTGTGTGCGTAAGAGAGTGTGCGCGCGTGACTCCAGTGATTGTGTTGATATGTAGTAATAAGTGTTTAAGGTTCTTCAGACGGACCCCGTCCTCACTTTGGGGACAAACGGAGCTCCTGTCTGTTAATGAATTATGTAATATGTGTGCACCATTTTCAGGGCTGATGGTCGTGTCTGTTTACATGCGCGTGTCATTATCCCGGGGTGTTTATGTGGCCATTGTGTGGAGCCTGGATGCACTGCCCTGGCCATATGGGCAGAGTCTCCAACCACTGCGAATATAACTCAACACTTCAGCGCTGTCAGAGCTGTGGGACCTTACTTCCACTCCCGTGCCCATCACAGATGATTCCCATTATGCAATTAAAGGATGCAGATAAGCATTGAGAAGCTTCTCAAAGGCATCTGCAAAGTAGCATCCTCTTTTGTGCTTTTGGTTTAAGGATCAGGCGTGCAGCTCGAGCTGGGAATCTGCAGCCTTTAATGCAATTTTGAATTGCAGTTGAATTTAGCTGCTCACAGGTTGCAAAAGCAACATTGTTTAAGATGGAAGACCTTGACCTCAAGTGGCAACATGCCACAGAGGTTTGGAAAGCTACCATTTTGCTGTTGTTTTTTTTCTTCCTTTGCTTTTAAAACAACTCAGACAAGAAATAAAAGAGAATGCTGCCTTATCGGTTAGAAGTATTTTTGTGTTTGAGCCTTTTTTTTTTTTTGCTGTACTTGTTCAAATTGCATCATGTGCTACTTATTCTGAACTGCTCCACTTCCCCTTGCCTGCGAGCTCCGGTTAGCTTCAGGGACACCACAGGATATCAGACCCTTCAGTTTTCCCCCCATTTTTTAAAATCTGCTGTTCATGTGTTTGCAACATACATTTCACCATAGGCACTGGATTCTGGTTTTAGACACAGTTGTGTGTAAGCATTTCCCTCGTGTAACTGAAAGCTATTTTGTCCTTTCAAGCCATTAAAAAGTGTCACTTTGGTCCTGATAATCTCGAGAACTTGTCTTGTTTAACTTGTTGCAGACAGAATTTGTTGCTAGTTTGGAGTCAAATACTGAGATTTGAAAGCTTTTTAGTAAGCACTGGCAAAGAAAAACTTTATCAAGAAAGAGGATTTAATATTATCATTTTAATCAATTTGGATGCTAAATATATTTAGGAAAATTCCTTGTAAAAGTCAGATGTAGACTATTTGTTTTCAATCTAGTTTCAGGAAATCTGAAGGGTGCTTTAGGGTTTCTGCTGAGTTTCTGGTTGTAGAACCTAATGGTAGTTTGTGTATTTGTCTGGAGGTGTTTAGTGAAGCAAACTCATCAAAGCAGAACCAGGCCTGCACTGCCCTGTAATCGTCTCTCTGATACATTCCCAGTGCTCGTGCAGAAGTGGGGCTTTCAGCCGGGCTTTAAGAGCGGATGTGGCCAGCCTGCCCAGCATCCCAACCCTGTACACTACTCTGCTGTTTGCTGTTTCACTTTTTTTCCCCCCTGCCCTGTGCCACGCTCGGCAGGTTCGCATTCCTCAAACATTACCTGTAAGTCGAGCGTGGCCCGAGAACAGTGGATGCCTTTTCGAGCCCTCTCTCTTGCGGGCCTGCCCTCTGAGCTCTTCTAAAAATGTATCGTCTTAAAGCATTAATAGAATGCGTTTTTTTCTTGCTTTAGCTCGGATTCTTTAAATCCTCGGTGCCTGCACTCCATTTTATTTCTGTTTCATTTTGTGCCACCTTGAAACAGCCGCCCCTGTGGTGTGTGTTTTTGGCAGCGAGGCGCGGATTAAGCTGCTCCTGGAAACTTTTGGTGAGATTTGCATGTAAGAAGCCGTTCTCTACGGACGCAAGTGCGACTAAAGACCTGTGGTGGCACTTCGCGATAGCGTTTCCTGTGTGCGGTGGCAGCTCCTGCTCCAGTTGAGAAATCGAAGCGTGTCCTCAATGGCGCTTGAGGCCGGAGCCAGTATGAGAGCGCCATGCCTGCTGTAGGGCTGCTCTCAGATTCAGATCTATCTGCCAGTAAACAGGCTGTCAGCTTCCAGGGAGCCTAAGTTTTGCAGAGTAACATTGGCATTGGGAAAGTGTTGGCTTAGTCCGATTGGTGTGTAGATTTAATCTTACAGAGAGATTATGTAACATAAGTTCGAGGAGATAACACACCCTGCAGCCTTAACAATAAAACACGCTTTGAGGCGGCAGCTTTTCCTGGTCAGGATCAGTGAATTACGGCCACTGATGTGAAAAAAACATTTTAACATACATCTCCCATGGTGACACAAATCTCCGCTTTAGAATGTTCACATATTTTTGTTGTTCTAGATGCTGTAACGCACAGATTATTTGAGTTAAAAGGTGGTTACAAATGTCCTTTTTCTACCTGGTAAACACCCGCTTCTGCGTTGGTTTGCAATCGTCAACCTGAAGCTCCTGGGCCTAGCTAGAGGTCTAAATACAGCGTAAAGGCTACCTTCAAATATATAAATCATCTGAAGGCTTTTACTAGTCAACACTGACATATGATCAATGCGTGATATTTACTTTCTATAAAAACAGTAGCTCAAAATGCAAAAGCAATGTGTGTAATGCTGCATTGACCTCGTGATCCATCAGCTGGCAGAACCTCTTTTATAAGCAATGAGTTGAAGTCCAGGTTTTCTGGATGATGTTATCAGTCCCTCACATGGTTGTGGAGGAATTTTGTCCCTCTCCTCTTTCCGTGGCTGTTACAGCTCATTAAAGTTGGCAGCTATGGTCTGAGGATCCCACCGCAGCATTCATCACGCTGAGGTCTGGACTCTGATGGACCGGTCAGCACCTCCATTCTTTTCTCTTCAGACTTTCTGTTGTAGATCTGCTGTTGTCTTTGGATCTTTGTCCCGTCGATGAGCCGGTCTCAGCCCAGCTTTAGCTCTGGGACAGACGGCCTCACATTTGACTCTGAGTACTTTGGCTTCCAGAGGAGATCCTGGTGGACACCCAGGTCCTGACACTGCAGGACCAGCCCACATCATTATCCCTCCCCCACCGCGGCAGCCGTGCAGCCATGTTCTTTTTCCAGAGAAGAGGCTAACAAAAAAGCAACAAAAAAAGTCATACTTGTTCAGTCTTTTTCTTATTGTTCTCTCATAAACTTGAACCTTTAACATGCTGACTGCGGCCTGTAGTCTGAGATGTAGCTCTTTCCCGGGGAGACTGACAGCTGTCCTGATTGTTTTCCACTCGTGAATAATCTTTCTCTCTGCTGAATGATGGACTCTCAATAGTTGGGAAAGGCCGAGATCATTGATGATGTCTTTCCTCTTCGGCATTCAGTTAACAGATACCTGAATGTTTAAGAACAGTAAACTGAGAAAACGTCAGATTTTTACAGAGCTGCTCACACACACTAATGGTCTGTTAATCAAATCAATCTGATCCATAGCATCTGGCTGCTTCTTATAGGCTTGATTCCACTGTTTCTGCATTTTAGTTGAATCTCTATCAGCTAAATAATGGCTCAGTATATGTCTATATGTCCTGTGTTGTTTACCATTTTATTTATTAAGAATTGCTGGAGTACAGGTGTAAAAACAATCTAACAAAAAAAGCTCTTTGCCCAATAACTCTCACAGCTGTCTTTTATTAGGGATTCCTCAGCCGTTATTAATTGTAACAGGCTCATCTGAAGCATGGCTGATGGTACAGATTAGCAGAGGATCATGTTTGACATGCTCACACACCTCTTTAACATTTCGGTGCTCATCTGTAATCAGTCCCCTGCAGGAGCTGATTACACGAACACCTCACGGCTCCACAGAAAGCTCGCATTTCCAAAAAGTGAGCGTTTCAGGAAGTGAGATCATCTGGCCGACCGTCCCCAACGACGTCCATGTGTTTGGCTCCCCTCTACCACACAGACTTAGCTTGGCTTTGTGCGGGGTCTGCAGAGTTCAGCCTGGATTTTCTGCTCATAAGGCGCAGCTGCTGAGAAAGAGCCGAGCTTTAAGAACTTAAACATCCAGCTTGTTTTGTTTTTTTCTGCAAAAGAACAGATAAAGTTCTGTGCAGTTTCTGCCGAGGGGGGGGGTTGGCTCTGAGCATTGTCAGGGAATCCCCTTAGAGTATCAGCACATATGATCTAACACAATGTCCCGTTTGTATTACTCCTTTCTTGGTGCTCTGTGGTCAGAGACAAAAGTCCAGAGGGCAATAACTCAGAATATTCTCCGCCATCTCCAAAGTCATTTATATTTATTATTTCATTAACCTTGACTTCAGATATAACACACATCCCCCCAGTGACCTCCATCTTTCTCCAGGCTGTCCTTTTAGTGTCTACGGGCAGCTTTTTCAGAATCTCCCACAGCTCCTCCTCTTTCTCTGATCATTTACATCCGCTTTGTTCTGTGCAGATTAAGGTCACACGTCAATGAGACTCCTAAACCTCCAAAGGCTCTGGAGGCCTGGGGGCCCTTGGAGTCTCATTTGCGGAAAGCTCCTCGCAATTATTCATCTTTACCCTCCATTTCCATCTCTAACCGTCTCTTAAATGTGCCCGAATCTCTTCCACTGCTCCGTCTGACAGTTTTTACATTTATTTCCCACCTTTTTCTCGTCAAACGGCAGCCCGCCTGCACCAGACCACATTAAACCCTGGCGCTGGCAGAGTTGGTGTAATAACTGTTCGAGGGCTGATTGAGGCACATTTCGGCAGTCATTGCAGAGGACGGAAACCTGTTGAGAAACTGACACAGGATGTGGGAAGTGAAATTGTCTCTTTCTGTTTATGCGTGTGCACTTACCAGCTCGTATTTTCAGACTGAATGAGCAACGCAGCCTCATCTCTACTTGCAGTTGAGTTTTCAGTAGATTTCCAGTAAAAGGGACTGAAAGATTGATCAGTCGGTGCAGAAAATATTCAGAAATCCTCACTGTAGATTTTTTCATCTTTCAGTTTAGTTATTTCATAATTATTATCATCTCTTAACAAATTCTATCCTTTAATGAGAGCAAGAAGGCCCAGCAACCCAAATCATCATCAGTATTTGTTACCATAATTTGGTGTTTGTGATAGTAAACTGTCAAAAAAAGGGTGCCTGTCTGTCTCTTGGTTTAAATGTCCTTTTTTGTATGTGACTCGTACGCCTTTGGCATGACAGTAGCTTCTTACGCGACAATATGGCTGACTTCCATCTTCCAGCCCCACCTTCCCACTTGCTGCACCAAAGGCCTGCTTTGATAATCTGCTCTAAAACAGGAGCGGGACATATAGAATCCGCCAAAAAACAGAGCTACTTGCAAAATGTTTCAGGGTTTGTTGTGTTTGTTTTGCTTTGTTTTGTTTTTCTTTGATGCTTTAATTTATTCTTTGCCTTAAGGCCTCTTGACTTTTTAGTGCTCCAGCTTAGTTGCTCTTTGCGCAACTAGTTCTTGTTTACGTCCTGTTATTTTGTTTGTGCTTTCTTTTAATTCTTTATTCAGATTTTAGTCTTTAGTCTTTGTTTCCTGTTTCATCATTTGGTGTTAGATCCATTGATTTGGTGTGTTTTCTTTTCCAGTTTTTGGTTGCTTCCTGTTATATTTGTTCCTCTTATTTCCCTCAGTGTATTTATTCCCTATTTTCTGTTGATCTGTCTTAGCTCATTTCATACCATACCTGGTGTGATGACTTAAAAGCCTCAGAGAGCACACTCTGTCTTCACTTCCTTCTTCATACTCCTGCTTTGGGATTCTCTTGCTCATGTTTCTCTTCACCATTTCTTTCTGTTCTTGGTTCGACTCCCAAGGCCAGGCCCAGTCATGTGTGGGCTTTGCATGCGGCACGGGGCTCTTAAAGGTTGTCAGAAAGCTGTACAGGAAAAAGACAATCACACTGCCAGCTGAAACTACATATGTTAATCTAAATTGAATATTCTTCATGAAGCCCTTTAGATACTTCAGTCATTGTAGCCTCACATGCATTATATAAGAGATATATTGGAATATTATTATTACTTTAAAGGGAAAGATAAAAGGAGCATGTCGTGTTACCAAAGGCTGCTCATACTTGTCATGTTCTCTTATTTTTCTGCATGAATCACAGTTAGCGCAACTGGAAAAAAAATCCTGTGTTGCTATCAAAGTGGCTGCCACAAGGAATCGTGGGCCTGAATTATCTTCTTCCTCCCATAAAGGATGGTCGGGTCTATCCTTTGCTAAAAGAGATAATTAGGGAAGCGTTGGAGCTCTTTTCTTCAGTATTTGGAGAATTTGAACAGCTTTCATCATGGCTTTTGCCCATATAATTCAGATTCCGGGTCTTTAAACTCAGCTAAGTCGGTTCTGAAGCAAAGTAGATTGTTCAACTCATGATTTTGTCTCTGCGTCGTCATATTGTTGTTGTCACTTTACACATCAATCCCCTTAGGATAGCGCTTTGTTTACTCTGCTCATCGTTATGTTCCCCATGTTTTTCTTTTCATTCATTCAGATTTATTTTTTCTTGAAAAATACATTGTCAGTATACTTTTTATTCCACAGTGTATTCCACTCTGGGTAAGCAGATCTAATGTTAGTCTAGTAGTGAATTCAAAGGTTACCCTTAAAAAAAAGCTTTAAAAAGTCATAAACACTTCAACAAAGCACGTGTCAGGAGACGAAGAAGACAACAGACTATTTTCTGGCTGGGCTTCGGTGCTGCTATATCCTGCTGTGAGACCAGGTTTCTCATCTCACCGCACTCTAAAACTGACTGCAGGCACTTTTTTGGGGGGTTTTAATTATTACTTTTATGGGCATTCCCAACCGCTGTGCTGGAGGCAGCAAATGGCCTTCATTACTGCCATTATTCAGCACTTCTCATCATCCCATCCCCCATTTATTATCCATACTGCATCACTTCCTCATCACTCTGCCCTCTTACTGTCCACTCTGAGTTCTGCCCTCTTATGAAATCTGCGTTCTCTGGTGTCACTGTCCCTTTTCTTTCTTATCACCCTGCTCTCACTGTCTCCGGCGCTTTCATTCACTGCTCCGTAAAATATCTTGCTGGATTTTTACTCTCTGACCGTGGCCTTCTTCTCCTCTGTTTTTCTGCTCAGGCCGGTTCACTTATGGATCAGCGTTCAAACAAGGAGCCCCTCGGATTCCATGGACAAATCGACCCAGCTTTGTTCCCCACCGAGAGCCGTCGATCGACCCTGATGCCGACGCGCCGCGCCCAGCTGTAGAGCAACGAGGCCAAGGGGTCAGGGGTCAGGGTTCAAGGGTCGCGGACCAGCGAACCGGAGCAGGAGCCGAGGTCAAGAGGCCTGAGAAGAGGGTCCCTGTGAGGCTCTCAGAAGAAGTCGGGCATCGGAAAAGGAAGGGCCTGCGCTACAGGGGTCAGGGGTTAAAGATGATGACATCACACGGAAAGCTGAGGAGGGAGAAGGGGAGCCTGGCCGAGTACGAATCCCAGATCAAAGGTAAGGGGCCCTGCGCGTGCACGTCCCGTGGCCTTTCCCGCACTTCCTGCTTGCGCGTGCACGTCCGTGGAAAGCACGCGCATGCACACCGATGCGTGAACGCGTGCGGCTGCTCTGCTCACCCACCCAGACGTAAACGTACACAAAGCCATATGGGGACATGCGTGTTCTCCACAAGCAGATATCCCTTCACGGAGGACTCCCAGGGATATATCGGGATATCTCTCTTTAGTTCAGAAACATTTACGGGCCTGCAAAAGCGCACGTGAGGCCGTGATATAAGTGGAAACATGACCAATATTGCGAGGATTTCATATGACAACAGCAGGCGTGTGTGTGTGTGTGTGTCGCGTGCCGTGTTTTGGAGCGTGCATGCCGTGCCTGGCTGTCTCTACATACTGTACTACAAGGGTGTATTTATAGCTAGTATTAGTGATGCTGTCTCCTCACATCCAGTCAGCCTTGGGCTGTGTGCTCGCACAAAGACAGAAAAAGAGTAAAGAGAGGAAAGATGGAGCTGGCGGAGTGGGAGGTAGAGGAGAAAAGGAAAAACAGAGGGGAGCAGAAAAAAGGCAAAAAATGAAATTTAAAAAAAGACAGAGGGGGGAGAGAAAAGTGGCGGCGGCGTTATTTTGGGGAGTTCGTGTTAGCCTTTTTAGAACAAGCGGCCACACCAGGACACTGGGATTTGACTTTCCGTGTTTACTTAAAGCCTTTTTGTGTATCATATCCCGTTATGAAGGATTATAACCGGTAAAATGTTTGTTATGAACCGAGTTGATGTCAAAGTGCTTTGCAGACCCATCAAAGAGCTCAATGACAGCATTTTATCAAATCATGTGAGCCGACAGAAAGCCTGTAATTATTATTGATTCACAATGTGATCCGCCAGCTGTGTAGGCTGGGGTGTTATTTAGGTGAATTCTGTGACTGCGGAGGCTATTATTACTGGAATTTATAACAATGTAATCCAACAAAATTATTCATCTCTTAATTGTGCAGAATACAAAACTAATTCTACAGTAGATGGGATGTGGTTTAAAAAGTAAATACGCACATAATGTAATGATGTGGTATTGATGACCTACAGAAAACTTCACAAACGATTTACTGTTTTACTATGTATTTGTCATATGAGCTTATCTTGAATTTAGTGGCAGGAAAATGATAAAACAAGTTGTTAAGAGGCAACAAAAGGCTGGACTAGTTAGTGGTGATTCAACAAACAGCTGGAGGAATATGTTGTAGCTCAGGGGGTTACTTGACAAAAGGTCGGTAACATTGGTTGGTAACCTCAAAGAGACAGAGCCTCTCATTCTGCAAAAAAGGTTTTTCTACAGTTACTCAACATGAAATCATAAAAAAATAAACTTCTATCCTCTGCGGTCCAATGTGTGCAAAGATCTTATTGAGCTCAATCCCAATTCATGTTAGAACTAGTAACATGAATTGTTAGTTGAGCCACAAATGACAGTGGAATATGTATTAAGTGCAAAAATCCAGCAAAACAATTAAACCGTGTTCTGTTGTTATTAAAGGCATATATGAATCCACTTAGTGAAGCTGGGTGCTGTAGATGAAGATGCATAGTTGTGTTGTGTTGAATCCATTCCATATTGTTGTTAAAAAAAGACATTTTCTTTGTCAGGGTAAAGTAGTGGAGAGCTGAAATGTCCAATGTGTGTTGGTAGGTATTTTTCAAACGAGGATCATGAGGACGAAGCAGATCAATCAAATGCTAATGTGGTTTAATTAAACCAGATGCTGGTTTTGGCAGAAACAAAAGGCAAGAACAGGCACTTAGATTTAAAAGGGCTCTAATTGCATAAACAACAACACATACACTTAAATTTAATGAGGAAACTGAAACTTGGGATAACACACACTGAGGCAGTGATGAGTGAATCCAGGTGCAACAGGGAGAAGCAGAGGTGCCAGCGGAGTTACCTAAATAAGAGGAATCAGAGGAATATATCAGTGAAAAACACTGTAAACACTTTACCTAACAGCCATCACAGATCAAGTCATCATCCAGAAGCAGAGCAGCTGTTAGCATGGTGGGGGAGGTATGATGATCTTCAGAAAGTCTGAAAAAGAAAAGAATGGAGGTGCTGCAGACCTCAGCCTGACTGAATGCTGTGGTGGGACCGTGGGAACGTGAGAGAGCTGTGCACAGACCAAAGCTGCAAACCTCAATGAGCTGAAGCTACGATGGAAAGAACAATGACGTGAGAAACTGGTTATATCATACGGAAACCACTTTCTCAAAGTAACTGCTGCTAAAGTTGTTTAACCACCTAGTAGTGGGTATTCTTCTAACCCTACTCGCTTTAAGTGATCTGTCCACATTCTAAACACACTTTACTAGACTTGAATATGGGCCAGAAGCACCATATTTCACATTATCACGCTTCCTGTGCGGCTGACAATCGGGGAGTAAAGTGCGTAAAGCTGCCTCTGTGGTCCAAAAAAGCTGACCTCCACAATATAATCACACAGCACCGAGGGTCGGATTTGAAAGTGGTTAAACTCTGCTGCGTGACAGCTGAAAATGATCGGATATACTTTTAAATTGTGCGACGACGCTGAGTGTACTTAGTTCTTCACACGCTGCTTTTACAGTGTAGCTCAGGGTTTAAAAAAAATTATGATGACATGTAAATCGTTATTGGTGAGAGGCTTTATTTACCTCAGTTAAATACTTAAAAACAGATTAATGCGCTGTTTCATGTGAGCCGAGCTTCAAAATGGAAATATATACTTTTTCCATCCCATCCCAGCTGAGAAATGTTTGCTGGATTCAGTAAAAATGCATGAATCCTTTTTTTGGTAAAGGAAAGCTATTAGTTGAATATTTCATGTGAAAACACTCACCTCTGGCTCATCTCGTGCACATCCATCTCTCTACCTCTGCGAGCGTCCAGACTGATGAATGTAGATTTATCTCATGGTCACCCTCCTCTTCCTCAGACCTGCGGGCCCAGCTGACAGACCAGATGAAGATCCTGGACTCTCAGGTGGAGGTGAAACAGCAGCAGCTCTCGGATCTGTCCGAGTTCCTCCGTCGCCGCGGCGACATCGAGGCCGAATACGCCCGAGCTCTCGACAAACTAACAGAGAGGTTCACGCACAAGACTAAAAAGTAGGGGCGCGCTTCACGTGGACGCCAACGCGTCCCCTGACCGTCTCCGGTGGCTCTTTTGTGAAGCATCGTGTCAGGATCTGGAGGTTTTGCCGTGTGTTTCTGCAGGAAGGAGCAGTGGGGTCAGTCCGTGTGTCAAGTCTGGACGGTCCTGCTGACTCAAACCCGTCTGGAGAGCCGGGAACATGCATCGCTGGGGGACACCTGCTGCAACACGCTCACACAGAGGCTGGCGCACAGCACCGAGGACACACACCGTCTGCACAAACGGGTGAGAGGCTGCTTCCGTCAAAGACCAACTGGAAGATCCGGTTCACACAACTCCTCTCCGCAGATTTCAGACAAAACCGATTATGATTTGACTTACTAAATCATTAAAAACCTCATCAGCTTCAAGTGGGAAGTCTTCTTTTTAAGATAAGTGCTCTGTAAGAATGAGTTAAATATGTTTTTTCTCCTTACAGTTCTACCTGGTATACTACAAAACACATTACTACCATAATATAGCAACTAGTCTGACAGGTACATTTCCCAAACGATCAGTTATGTCATATAAAGTGATCCATTTCTTTTCTGAAAGGCCAACAGGCGCACAGCTTTTGATGGGTATGTTGGCCCATATCCCAGAACACTGTAGTTTAAGAAGGGGGGGGTACCAAACATGTACACCGGGTCACGGTTTTGGGATCTTTTTGGACTTTGGTTTTGCTTTGTTTGTGTGTTTTCTTGTATGTTTGTGGGATTTGTGTGTGTTTAGTCGGGGTTTGTCTCTTAGTTCCTCTTTGTTGGTTCACTGTTCTTGTTCTTAGCTGCTGTTTTGTTTTATGATGAACTCACTTGTGTTCCTGAGTCATTTGGGTGTCTTCAGTCTGTATTCGTCCATTCTTTAGTTTTTCATTGTGACATTTATGTTTGTCTTTGTTTGTTCTGACTTTGAGTTTCAGTTCCTGCCTCAGTACAGGTATGTTCTTGTTCCAGCCTTTTCCGGGTCTGGTCATCAGCCCCAGACCTCGATGTTCCTTCCACCCCCCACTGTCCAAATAGATTATATGTTCATCGATGTTAATTTGTCATTTTCTGTTGATTAGCTGTTTTTCCTTTGACCAGGGAGTCTTTTTACAGTTAAAAAAAAATAGTTGATGTTAAAGGTAACAGATAAGTTGGGTTTGAGACGCATCCCACACCATAGCATCCACAGTCCCTTAATCAGACATATTTTGAGCTTAAAATACACGGTTTGGGTGTCTTATCGTGTGCATGCTGCCCTACAGACAACAGAAAACTGCAACACACTCAAAAGATGTGGAAAAAAGCAGCTGCTGCACCTTTTGGTAAAACCAGCCCTCACACTTTGTACAGATTGAATCCTCCTCAACTCATTCAATTCAACTTTCAAGTGCACAGTATAAGATTGCGTAAATTACTGGCTGTCAGACATGGTCGCTATATCTTCTCATGATTGACAAGTGAGTGGAATCTTAATGAGGCCACAAGAGTGGTTTCAAAGCAGCTAGGAGGTGTTGTTAGGCCCCACGCCAAGCTGGGCGACTCTTTTAGCATCCACACTGTCACTTTAATATGCTAATGCTACCAATGAATGAGAACACTTATCTGCTCGCATTTACAGACCCATTTACAGACTAAGGCTTCCTGAAACAATCCTCTGGAATTTGAACTTTATTGTCGAGAATTAAATCACAAGATCGAAACCCCCACCACGTGTCTTTGTGCTAAAAAAGAAGTGAAGACTAGCCCTGTGAATCTGTGTTGAAGCTACTTTGTCACTGTTTTTTTTCCCAGTGCGAGCAAGTGTGCAAAGAGGGATATGTATCCAGTCTTTAGTTTAATTCTCAGTTGGCAATAAATGTACTGCAGCAGTCTGGGTTTGTACTGTACTGAAAAGCATAAAAATGTTGTTATTTAATGACCCACATGTGTGAATTAGTTGGAAAAATAATGGTTCACTTTCCTTTAAAATATTATATAACTACAATGCCACTTAAGACATAAACTCATGTCATTATTATGAGCACAGCTTCTGTTAAAAATTACTTAAACTTTATTTCAGTATTTCCATTATTGTACCTCCGCTTTTCCAGATTTAACATGTAGTTCATTGTACCCCTGTATTTCCAGTTACATTCATTTTACAGCTATTTACTTATTGTTTTTATATAAAGGTTTCCAACCTTTTATTTGGCATCCGTTCACTTCTCAGTGACTTTTAGCCCATATGATGGAAAAAGTAGTTCACAAACACCGAGCCTCCAAAATCAGTGGCCAAATTCTAACTTTTCCTTTAAATGAATATTTTTCTACACCATTATGTTCATTTTCATATCAGTTAAAGCTCAGAAGTGAAAAAGTGTATCATCCACCTCTGTTTATGTGACATGAGCTGGATTTGCTGCTTGACTTTGGGGTTAATGTCTCCGGCTCAAAGCTCGTGATGATGACCTAATGTGTTTTCTTCTCAGATGGTTTCCAGTAATGACCTAAATAGGACACGTTAAGCTGTAGTTGCATTTGAAAGAATGAGCAGTTTATCTGGTTATTAATAACAAATAACTATTAATAAGCATATACAGGAGCTATGCGAATTACACACAGGCCTTAGCATTATGAGAACCCTCTTTCTTTGTAAAACTCTGCAGAGCAAAGAGGTTGGAACCCAGATGCAGGATGAGCTGTTGAAGGTCACCACTGAGCTGCAGACGGTGAGCACCTCCTACTTTCACCCCGATGTAAAAATCCCAACCTGTTAAGGGTCATTGTGTGTGGAGGCTCATGTGGGGTTTGTGTATTCGTGTTGATGAAGGCTCTGAAGACATACAACCAGTACCACACAGATTGCCTGATAGCTGAGGGGAAGCTGAAGGAAGCCGAGCGATTGGAGGAGAGACACACCGGTAAATCAGCTGAGCTCGGGCCCGGCCCAATGGTCGGCCAGAGGCGAAGCTCAGTCAAGAAGATGGAGCGATTAATGGAGAAGGTGTGTGAGAGATTAAAGAAAGATGGAAGCAGCCACAGGAAGCCTTGAAGTGTGGTTTCTTCTGAATTGGCCACATCCTTTTCCTGTTTTTTTGCTGTGTGCTTTTTTTTCTTCTCGAGGCATAAGTAATTGGCTCTGTTTGTTGGCATGCATGTTATCTTCCCTGACTGGTACTTTTTGTGTGTGTGTGTGTGTGTGTGCACACACAGCGGCACGGCAGGGTGCAGGAGACTCAGCTGAAATGTACCAAGGCTCGCAACGACTACCTGCTGAATCTAGCCGCAGCAAATGCAGCCATGAACAAGTATTACCTGCAGGATGTCAGCACCCTAATTGACGTAAGAAGCCATTTTCCTTCAGAGTGACACTAGTTTTTTTATATTTCCTTTTGACGAGCTCAGGTATTAAAGGAAAACCTAATCAACTGAGGCTGATTTTGAAGAGTTCATCCATCCTTTTTGCTCCCTCCCTCTCGGCAGTGCTGTGACCTCGGCTTCCATTTGTCGGTGGAGAGGGTGATGAAGTGCTACCTGGCAAGTAAGTGGCGCATCCAGAAGACAGAAGAGACGGGCCTTAAGCAGCTGGAGGCCGCCGTGACGTCCCTGGATCAGAGCGGGGACAGGGATGCGTTGCTACAGCAACACGACGCCGCCTTCTGCCTCCCATTTCGGTTCAGTTATCACCCACATGAGGGGGACCAGGTAAGAATAGCATTTATCCTATCGAAACATATTGTAAGTGAAAGACTTTTGGATATCCATCATTAAATACAGTTTTTTTTATCTTTAAATGTCTGATGTTCATTTAAAAGTTTGCATATTTATATCATGGGTCCCCTTAAGTAGGTTTGCATAGTTTATTTGTTAAAAAGACATTATTTGACATCTCCTGTCTCTGCGTCTTATGATGGAGGGCGGAGCCAAAGACAACAAAAAAAACACTACAAAGTTACTTTTAATAAACAGAAAAGGCAGCAGTTGAACTATTTATCATACTGTCATATAACTTGATGATCTTTCATTGTGTATGTCAGGTGTGCGAGGTCAGTGCGGAGAGCCAGGTGAGGTATGAGCTGGAGACCAGGTTCCAGCAGCTTCAGTCTCGCCTTGCCGCCGTAACCCTGGAAACAGAGGAGGTCGGTCAATCGTTGTTGGAGCTTTACGTTACAGTCTTCGTGTCCTGAGTGTGTGCGAGTCAGTGGGACAGTTACAACGCAAACTTGATAAAGAAGTAAACACCCTGCCCCTCTCTCAGGTCAGCAAGACGCTCAAAGCCACACTTGCAGCCCTTCTGGACACGATATGCGACAGCGACTGTAACCCCTCCCCCGACGTCTCCAGCAGCCTATCACACGAGCCCCCTGGTGGGAGCAACGTCCAAAAACTTACCCTTGCTAAGCGTCGAGCCAATCAACAGGAGACAGAGACATACTACTTGACTGTGAGTTGGGTGTTTGGACGGAAGTAAAGGACCCTTGTTTCATGCTTGTAGTTTATTAAATTGTCTTATTTTCATATTTCTGATTTTAGAAAGTGAAGGAATTCCTCACCAGCAGTTCTCTGGCCTCCAAACTTCAAGCCAAACATGATCTCCTACAAGATGCCATACAGAAAGGTACTCTAGTCCCATCTACACTGACTCTAATTATGTTTTCAGTCTTTGTGTGCATTTACTTGTAAGAGACACAACAAAACATACTCACACTGTTTTGAGAGCTGTTTTAACCATGCTAACTTTGCTAAAGACAAACACACCTTGGTCCATCAGTATTTTGTAAAAGGTTTATTTTATTCATTATTAATCCAGAAAGCACCTTTTACAGACCAGGTAATCTTGCATCATTCTAGCTCAATTCAGCTTTATATTTATTGATATTTCCGTTGTTTGAGACTGTCCTCACTGCCTGGGGACGTGTCCCCCCCCCCGGTGACTCAAACCGGTGGAGCCGGATTTGCAGAATCAGCTGTTTTATCATGCTGTGCATTCTTGGGAGCCCCACGTGAACTCATGACCATGTGTCTCATGCCTTCTCTTTCTTTTTTTTTTTCCAGCTGAGGCCGTCGACAGTGACCCTTCCAGGTAAACAGTGCGTTTCCAGAGCTGAGAATAAAGCGAGTGTGTCTGAGAGATGCTTAAAAAAGACGTGGAGAGAGCAGAGAGGACAGGGGGAGGAAGACGAGGGCAGTCAACCAAATTTAACCCAATTCCTCCCATTGATCAGATTTTCTGCTCTGTTTTGTTTTTTTTGTTTGTTTTTTTATGGCGGGAAATATGTCAATATGTTTGGATCTTATTGGCATTGAGCATCTTATTTGTTATATTTCCCAGAATGCAATGTGCTCGGTCAGTTCGTGTTCGGAAGTCCAGACCAGTTTCCCAATTCTGCCACACACTCTTCACCACAGACATACTCTCCTACATTCAGGTAACACAAACAAACGAACAAACCCTTATTCTGACCCTCTTTCTTTGTTTGCTGCACTGCTGCTCAGCACTCCAGAGGAAATCGTTTAAGAAATCCTGATACAGAAGAAATGGGGGGTTGGGGGCCCTTGCAGCACTTGCATTCTCAGTCTAACCCCCCTCCTTTCTCCCCCCAGTGTACAGACCACTGCCTTCATGTGTACGGTCGTGCTTGTAGCTTACTTGCTGGCTTTCTCTTCTTTCAATCCACCCCCCTTTTATCTCTTCCACTGTCGCTTGTGAAAGGGATTAAAATGCACTGGCCTCTTTGCTGCCTCCTCTCGACTTCTCTATTTAGTGTGCGTGTGTGCTTGTGTGCAGCTCTTCCCACCGCCTTAAATCTTTATTCCCCCTTTTTTGACTCTCCCCTCTCTTCTAATATCCTCTTTTTCTTTGTCCCCGCTCTGCTGTGCTTGGCTTTGTGCAGAAGAAGAAGGAGAATGTCGCGGACACAGGTACCTACAAGTACCATCTGTGACTGCTTATATGCTGCGTGACGGCAGTATATAACCCACCAAAGTCGTGTCCCACTTATTTTGGCTAGACAATGTCATAATATTTGGGATATCTGAGCCGTTTTGCAGGCATTCATAGCTTATGATGAGTTAGATGAGATAAATTACATCCTGTGGGAGATTGTTTATGGGGAAAAGCAATCATATGTGACTTGACAGAAAAATATTACTATTGAGTGATCAATACTAACATTTAGCCTTTTAAGTTTTTTTTGCTTACACTAGATTTTGATTTTCTTCTTGTAATTAAATAAAAATCCATATTCTGTGCGAATCGTAAGGTTTCTCGGTCTAGTTAGACCTGGCATTATTATGAATTCTGAGGGATTCTATCACAAGTGAACAAATTAAACAAGGTTTAACATTAAATACTTTTTTAGCAGCAAATAGAAGAAAAGGAATTAACTCAAGCATAAAAGATACATTAAAAAAGATGTGGATAGTGTATACAGGTAATATTTGCAATTATCCGCATAAAGAATGTGACCTGGGTGTTGTGAATGTCCTGAAGTTGGAGGAAAGACGCTCCAAATGTGATTTGCAGCTTTTTTTTTTACACTGGGGTGGCTTCCTGTCCTGGATGGTTCGGTTCTCATTCCACCCTGAGATTGAACTTGAGTGTCTGTGAAAGTTGCTGCAGAATTTGGAGGATACGCCACATTTGCTTGTTTCCTGTAGAGGAGAGTCTCTGTTTCCGGATAAAAAAAGGTGTCACACTGTGTAAAATGTCAATCAAACAGAATCCAATAATTTGATCTCGATTTGTTTTGTTGTGATTGCTGAGGCTAACGTTAGCTCTGGTGTCCAATGCCTGAGGCAACATGATTTGCATTGATCTGATACTTCAGGTGCAAAGGACTGCGTTAATAAGGAATCTCTTTATTGGGCAATTTGCACTCAAGCAAATGCAGCCTCACTCTCCAGTTTTCTCACTCAAAGCCTCCTGCACATCTTCTTTGTGGCTTGCAAACAAATTTTGGGAGCCACCCTTCAAGCTGGAGCTTGTTCACCGATGCTACCAACAGTCAGAAATTACAATACCTATTCAATTAATCTAAAACAATTAGTTATGGTGTCTGTCATAGTTTTAATGAAGAAGAAGACATATCCTTTATTTCCTTGATTGGGGAACTTCAGTGTATCAGCAATAAGAAACAAGTGACCATGGAAATGTTGCTACTCGTGACAAAATACAGCAGAAATGTACAATATTTACTGGTTTCCAGTGATTGAAATGATGGATGATTACTGTCAGCATTAAAATGGGTCCCCATTCTTTAGCCTACATCACCCAGTTAGCTGAGCACTAAGCGGGATATCAGTAAGTTTGCTAATATTCCTGTAACATCAGCATCAACAATCTCTGTCGTTCAGGGCAACACATTTCACAGTCACCCGACTCCTGTGTGTTGTGGAGTTTTTCTTCCACATCCAATTCAATAAGCTCAGTTATGCAACAGATGTGAGGTTAGAGAAGTAAATGGAGCGTGAAGTATTGATTAGCGATGTACCAGAGCTCCGTGTCAGCACACCTCTGCTGACTGAAGACACACAACCAGAAGCCTTTAAACCAGTCTCTGAGGGAAAGATTGAAAAAATATGCTCACAATAAACAGCAGGTTCACTGGCTCTAAAATATCTCTGTCCTCACTCCAGTGTTCCACCTTAAGTTCTGTTTTTTGTGGAAATGAAACACCAGGTTTGAGAAGCAGAGTTCTACCTTTACTTTACGTATTCAGGGAAAATCCCAAATAACTAAACATCCTGGCTGAAAATTTCCTTTGCGAGTCCTGTCAGGGGAGTGGACAAACCTGCAGCTGAGGATACGTTTGTGGTTACACTGTTAAAATAACGCAGCCTCAGATCTGAATTTTACCAATTTACCATGTGTCTCGTGACATCACACCTATATTAACGCTATTGTACCTTTCAGGGCCTCTAAAAGTACACATATTTGGAAAAAAACATCTCTTGATTTCGAGAAAGTTCCTTTTCTTAAAGATTTATTTTTATAATGTGTAAATTCTCATTGATTTTATGAAGGAAAATTCAAATGGTAAAATACTGTGTCATTGCTTGTGTTGAACGAGTGGTAAATGCAAGCAGGCAATGTTTCTGAAAGGTCTTCTCTGATGTGACATTATCTATTATTACATATGTGTAATAATAGATAAACATATTATCTCTGTATTTGATGACATCGGCAGTTGGTGGTTCAGTTCAGATAAAACTATTCCCTGTAAGGTATTCTTTACAACTTTACAACAGCTCAACATGCCTGAAATTATACATTAAAACCTGTGTGCATTCATACGTGGAACCATGTTTTTCTCTGTGTTAAGAGACTCTGCCAAAAGATGAGAGTTTCGCATTTTTAGAGAGACTTTGTCAGCTTTATCTTCTTTATTCGACTCTGCTTACTTACTGAGTCCACTCTTCTTCTTCTTCTTCTTCAGAGCTCTGGGCAGCAGATTCCTGTGGTGGTTGAAAGCTGCATTCGCTTCATAAACCTCCACGGTGAGTCAGTTGTTATGATATAACAGACATACGTGCACGGAGGGCTCCGGATGAAGTGAGTCGGTGGGAGTACTTGTTTGCGAGGGTTTGTGTGATCATGCTCAGAAAGGGGTTGTTGGGCATCGGTGTATATGTGGTGAATATAATACCTGCATGTTTGTTTCAGGCCTTCACCATGAGGGTATTTTCAGAGTTCCTGGCTCACAGAGGGAGGTTAACCTCATCAGAGACGCATTTGAAAGAGGTAAATATTAACCTTCTCTTACAATTATGTCAGATGGAAATTCAGGCAAAAGATTACCTCCCAGAGCATGATCCAAGGTTCAAATAGAACCTCACAAATTCAAAATAATATTGTATAACAGGAAACAGTTTGCTCACTGTTTCCTGTCCCAGCTCAGGCTTTTACCTGCAATGTAAAACTACGATTACCTGAAAACATCTCAAGCGAATTCTGCTTTATTATAGAACTTTCTGGCATGCCTACTTAAAAATCGCAGTATTTTTTTTACAAATTGATGGGCCTGAGTGTTGCTGCAAGCACAAAGTAACTGAGCCTCTCTCGAGTTCTCATTAAGTTCCACGGCAGCTGAATTTCTGACTGCACAAAGATGTCGAATCGCAGACGATTCGCAGCCTTCATGCCATATGTCTGCGTGAAACCCCCTGCAGGAGAGGACCCTCTGTCAGACAGTGAGTGTGACCTGGACTCTGTGGCTGGTGTGCTGAAGTTGTACTTCAGGGGCCTCGAGCCTCCCCTCTTCCCGTACGACAGCTACACTCAGCTGCTGGAGTGTGTCCGTAAGATGCCTCAATGTAACCTCAAATATCTGTTTGAGTCTGTTCCTGTTTTTAGATCAGATGCTGGTTTCACTTTTCTTTTTTTAATTGTTTTGTTGTCTGTAATACGCTTTCACTGGTGGTTATTTCCGTAACATTTTGGTTTCTAAGGGCCTTTTTTGGGTACATTTAGGCTGAGTCATCACAGTACAGCAGAACAAGGCTTTTTGTTATTTAAAGAACAACAGTCTCTCAGCGCTCCTCATTTATTAAAATATATTTTTCTTTAAAGCAGCTGGATTTCCTTTTAAGTTGTCATGAGCAGTAGTCAGGCTTTCTAAAGGTCAAGAGTTTTTCTGTGTCTTTAGGCACTTTGTTACCTGCACTCTCTTGCAGAGAGTCAGAATTCTTTCCCCATTTTTGAGTTGCATTCATTAAAAATAGAATAAATACTCTTTTTGCTTCACAAAGGTGACACCCAGAGAGCTATTAGCAGATATCGTGGAAAGTCTCAGCCTAGTGGGTCACGATTTGGGGTGTGTGCATGGAGCAAGAAACTGAGGAACAACAAGAACAAAACTATACATGATGAAAAAGTTCCAGCGGCAACTTTTCAGAAGTGTGACTTGTGGCATTTCTGGTCATATTCAGAAATCGAGGAGGATGCAGAGAAAGCTGCCCAGATCAAAGCGATTGTTTCCTCTTTCCCGCGGCCTCTCCTCATCGTGATGCGTTACCTCTTTGCTTTTCTAAATCAGTAAGCTGCACCAGAACCCCAAAGTGGGATGTTCTCTCATCTCTAATATCTGCCTTGGTTATAAAACTACTCGCTCACACCAAAAATAGCTGCTCACCATGTGTGCGCGGTGTCTTTTCTTTTTCTTTCTTTCTTTCCCAGCGTGTCTCAGTACAGCGATGAGAACATGATGCAGCCCTACAACCTGGCCGTTTGCTTCGGTCCGAGCCTCCTAAGGGGGCTGGAGTCTGATGATGCTGTTGCTAGGCAGCCACAGGTTAATGACCTCGTGAAAACTATGATCCTCCAGCACGACGTCATCTTCCCCGGCCAATCAGAACTACCCGGCCCTGTTTACGAAAAGCACATGACTCTGGAGCAGGAATATTGGTGAGTCAGTGATGTGAATTTTGCATTTTCTGTTAAATTTCCTGTGACCACACATGCAAAACACATGGAAATGTATAAAAGACCGCCACCGATTTCACAACTTCTTATATCAAGGGTACTAGCCACCATTTCTGGTCTCACTTCTTGATAAAAGTTGCCAGTTTAGTTATTTTTAATATGGAGTGATTGCAATGTTATCTCTGGTAATGTCATTTTTCATGTGATGTCTTCAATTTGAATTGAAACACTGGGGGAAAAACTGCCTTTTTTTACTAATTGTCACCCAAATTGACTAATTGACTCTCAATATTTTAAATAGAACTTAAGGTTGAAAAGGAGCATCGGAAGACCGCTCGATGCATAAAAGTTGACCATCTTTGCATTATGTGTGAACATCTCCATGTTTTTTATGATCTTTGGATCATCTCATTAATGCAGTGAAGTCTTGTACATCTTGGACTTTGATTTCTACTTTAATTTTTTAAAAATAACTAGTATTTTTTGACAACTCTGATGCCGTAAGCGCCATTTTTTCAGCTTTATGACCAAGACAACATTGATTGAATGATTCAAACCTTTTCATTGAAGCAGATCTGTTTGTTGTTTTCACCTTTGCACTTAAACACAATGTACATGTGAGAGTAACACGGGGGGTTGTGTGGTTTTTACAGTTTGTTTACCACAGACCGTGGTATGATGATTGAAACGGTAGTACAGAGTGCATCACAAGACACCCTTGTACTTAAGAAACCTAAGAGAAATTACATACCTTAAATCCCCAGCAACAGATGGGTAATGGGTGCCTATATTTTAGGCTGGGTCCACAACATGGCCGCCATATTTGATCAAGTTTGTCCAATGATGAAAGGTGGTCATGTGGCATATCAAAGTAGACCAGAACTGTTTCAGAAATCGATTGCTGCAATCAGTTTTGCAATATCTCTTGCATGGCATTGAAATTAAGAAGGAAGCACATCGCAACTGAATATTAAAAAACTTTTTAAAAGACCTTATAAACAGTTTATGCTCCACTCAAATTACTTTTAGCACATGGATAACTGGTAACAGCCTTCATGCTTTAGAGTTTGCTATATAAACTTTATAACTTCTTCTGAGATGTAGCCTGCAAAGTTGTGTGCAAAACCTGCATAATTCAACTAAATATTGTCTTTAATAACAATCAAATTAATGCAATAACTTTAGAATGTGCTACAAACCTGCGGCCGCCGTAACTGAAACAGCAGAATTAAGTTTAAATGTGGCGCTGAATTGGAGATGTGGAGATGGAGATGGCGTTTCAGTTCTAGTTTGCGTGTCAAACAGACGAGGATCTGTGCCTGACCGCCTACTTTCATTTGTCTGCTTATGTGCAGTGAACCAATCACAGAGGAGGGAGATGGCGAGACCGAGCCTTTGCCCAGCGAGGACGGTCAGCACACACACAAACTTTACACATGGACAGTGCTTCTCACACCCTATTTCACACAAACCCGCTTAGATAACCACTTTCATGATGATTTATGTAGGAATCGTGACAATTTTGGGTGAAATTTGTTTAAAAATGTATGTACAGAGTGGGAGGCCGTGGCAATGTTTGACTACGCGGCCAGATCTCCAGCAGAGCTTTCCTTCAAGCAGGGAGAGTCACTGATTCTCCACAGCAAGGCCTCCAGTGATTGGTGGAGAGGCGAGGTGGGCGGAGTTAAGGGTCTCATCCCTCACAAGTACATCAGCGTGTTGGAAGGGTGAGAGACTGCAAACGTAATCCTGTGACTGGAAAAGTTACCGAGATGGACCATGTCCCGTGCACGCCTGGAGCTTGTTGCATAACACACTTTGAATGATCTCCTCAGTTATGAAACACAAAGTTTAAGCTCTTCACTTAACGGATTTGCACATTATTTCTTAAGAGGTGGAACTGTGAATAGTCTGATTAACAAAACTCTTATCGCTTCAGCGTTGTCATCCTACCCAAGGAGGGCACAGGTCTGACTGAGGTGGCCGTTTGCATGGAGCGCCTTTCTGTTAATGGCTTTATTTCAAATTCTGGCACGTGTGCCGTCAGCCACTTAACACCACTGATAGCTTCATTCTGAGAGAGCAACTAAGACTGAGAATTATGTGGAGCACTGCTTACTCATGTGTCGTGCAGACAAATAAGTGAGTGGAAAGATCTCATGCAAAGTTCTAATTAACTGAAAAGTGGCTGAAAGAGCACAACCGAAATTGGCTTTGACCACTGATCCATTTTTTTCCTCTCAAATTTGAAATGCAAAATTGGTTTACTGTAGCTAATAGGTTTTAACATTGAAACTAGATTTGATTACTAACAAATATTTTTAGCCTTGCCTGTCCGCTGAATCTTAATCTTCATATGGACAGCACAGGTAGATTTGCATACAAATTCAGAATGTGAATATACTTAACTAATCCACTTAAAGAAAGTTTATGCCACCATACGCTAAGCTAGATCATTTAAGTTTACATAGTGCTAGGGTATGCTTGCTGAGATAATATAAATACTTTTTTAAAGAGGTTGAAAATTAAACATACAAATGTGACAGTATTGACTTTAAGTTTCCATGCTTCCACTTTTGAGAATCAGGGTTCTTAGAATAGGAAACATTGACCATAGAAACAGAAACATTCATAATGTCTGAATCTGAAGTATTCAGGCTGCAAAAACTTTAAGTTATTTTGTCCTTTTGTTCAGTTCACATGTAAATTTAAGCAGTTATTACATAGTCAAGTTGTATTGATTTGACATTTCTCTTGTGTGCATTTTAAATTAATCCATTTTATTCTCTAACTTCAGGTCAGAACGAGGGAAAAGAGATGACGGAGGAGGGGGAGGAGGAGGGGGAGGAGGAGGAGGAGGAGGCAGCACTGGAAACCTGACAGCTGAGGATCCACATATGGAGAATACAACTCGGTACACACTGACATTTACATAGGCTCTCTCAAATTCACCTCTGAATATGGTCACACACCTCCTAACGTGTACATAACGCGCACAACCTGACAAACAGCAGTAGGCACGGTTCAAAGTCATAAACTTTCAGTATGTCTCGACAGGATGCGGGTGAACAGTGACAGCGCTTCGTTGCCAGGGAGACAGAGAGGAAGCGAGGGGAGTCCAAGTCGAAAGCCACAAACTTCCTCTGCCACCAGACAGCTACCGGTGTAAGCTCAACACGCAAAGAGGACAATGAGTTCATCTGCTCTCACATGCACGAGAGCCTTAGGTCTATTTTGCAACCTGTGTGATTTTTTAAAAAGCTCCGATAATTGGTATTTTTGTCATGTCTACACCGGCTCATCCCTGCCGGTGTTCAGAACATGGTCTGAAGTATAATGTTGTTTGCAAAAGATGGTATCATCAAACCAGACTGAGTCAGGTTTGAGGTAGAGGAATCAAAAGCAAAATCACAAATAGAATTTGAGATGGGCAAAGACAGAAATGTAAAATAAACATGAGTCTAGATCTTCTCCGATTCAATTAAGTAAGAAGGATCAAAGATCAGTGAAGTGAATATGAAAATCCTTCTTTTGTCGTTGGTAATGTGTCCTGTCAATATGGAGCCAGCTTATTGCTGGATATCAGATTATGCCAAGCAATTTGACATTTTAGCTCCATCTGAACCACTTGATAATATTCATGGTTGCATATTGTTACATAAAGTATCCTAAGAGCAGCGAGACGCCAAGTCAGACTGAATCACAGACATGCAATACGGCTTAGATAACCAACCAAATCCAAGAATTAGTGGCACAAAGCTGAAAGGTTTGTCCTACAAGGTTCAGTCAGGCACAAGGAGGCAGAGCCAGGAATGAGCCAGCCGTCATTGTCAGGACACTGCAGAGTCGAATTTGATGAATGAATACTGCACAGATTACTGCATAACACAGGGTCGTTTTAGTTGGTATTTATCAAATATCCCCCTGCTGGAAACTCATCCCACCGTGACAAGTGTGTTTGATGTATTGCAACAATACAATGAACGTTTTTAGTTTTTACTTGTATAATATAGCACTCCACAATGACAACACAATGTTTAGCAAAAAGTATCACTTTTCGGGACAGTGATGAGACTAATACCTTTGAAAAGCAACCAAACGGCAGTATATCTGCAGAACTTTAGGGACGCTTCTAAACCACTGTGGCCTTAAAGAGCAACTTCTCAGTTTTTTTATATAGCGCCTATATGCATGCATTATGTTTTTTACAGCCTGCTTCCTGATGAAAATCTAAATACAGCTGAAGGGAGGAAACGTATTTGGTTTGAAACTCATACAGTGCCTCGGAATAGCCACAATCCATCATCATTATTGGGACATTGTGAGGATGTTGTAACTGTTTCCAGGTCCCAAGAGCGAAGACACACTTTGGACACGGTGAGACAGGGCAGCTGCAAACTCCCCGACAGACCTCCATTCGGTCAGGCCGAGAGAACACCAGTTGATAAGGTTAGTCGTTCACCCTGTTCGAGAACGTACTTGATTAAAACTGAGGGGCTTCATTTTTGCGTCTCTTCTCTGCTGAAACCAATCCCATGTCCTTAAACAAAAAGGAGAAGCAAACTGAGACAGACATACGTCAGAGATGTGCTCTGAAAAGCCTCTTTTTCTGAGCTCATCTGAATTAGGACAATGCGTTCCTCTCTGCAAGTCCCAGAAATGGTGTTCAGATCGTATCGCCTTGTAAAGTAACCGTTGCATTTGATTAGGGGGAACTTTGAAGTCTACGTTAGCGGCACGACGGAAAATGTGCATAATCAGCAGCTCACGCTAATTCTGGTTTATCAGACAACAGTTTGTCCGTGTTAAGCGTGCCGACTCTGATGCTGCATTCTGCTGTGTTTCACTCTCAGCTGAAGATAAGACGATGAATGAATAGTTACAAGTCTCTTTACAGGTTTTAATTTTTCCTTGTTATTACTGTAGCTAAAGTAAACGTTTAACATGCCCTTTTCTTCATTCCAACAACTAGAACACGTTCTCTCTGTTTTCCTATTTTAAGAAAGGTTGCTGGTTGCCAGCATTGCTCGTATTTACATACTTATGTTCAAATTTTCTTATTTTGAGTTCGTTATTACAGGAAATGAAAGACAATGGCAGTGAATTGCACAGAGGAAGCAAATAGACTCCTTTAAAAATCATTTGATAAATTATCTGCATATCTTGGCCGATTTGGAAAAAGCTTAAACAGATCATTTTTTGTCATTGTAACATGGAATTTGAATTGATTTGAATGTCAAAATATGGAAATTGGCTTTCCTTAATGCTGAGAAAAGTACTCAAAACCATGCTTTTGTCTTCCCACCTTCTTTTGGAGACAGTGGAGGGAGGCAGTGATCTGTATTCCAGTCGGGTGAAAACATACCATTGGAAGAAATATGAAACCTTTACAGAGCTTTTAGGTTATGAAACTTCTCTGGAAGGGCGACCTTAACTGAAAATAAAGCATGAATGCAGCAAGGAAGTGATTTACTACAAAACTGACCTTTTCCCTGAGGAATAGTAGGGGGACTTCAGAAAATGGCAGAATTGATTACCTTCTACACAAAAAAGGAATGTTGCTTCAAATAAACTAAAAGGACAATGTGTCTGCAAAGTAAATGAAAGAAATTCGTACAAGAATCGGCACTCGCGCTCTGCTGTTTGTTTGTCTTCTTTCTATTGTACAAACAGAATGAATTGTCCTGGATGAACCTGAATGCAGCAAACCCTGAAGCACCAAGTACACAAATATGAGTCAGACTTCAGAGGAAACGGAGAAAAAAAAAAAAGATGCATTTTCACATCGCCGTTGCTTATTTTGTTGTTTTTTTTCTCTCGGCCCTTTTTTTTCTCTATCAGGACATGATCAGCCGTCAGATGAACTCGGTGTTCAAGGAGCTCCTGTCCCGTCAGCCTCCGCTGCAGTCGTCCACTCTGGCCACCAGTGTTGCCCCCGCCCCCACGCCCTCCTCCCCTCTGCCCCAAGCTGCCCCTTCTGCCAAAAAAGGAGGATTTGGTCTGAGAGGACGGACCATTTTCAGACCGGTGGACTAAAAAAAAAAAAAAAAAAAAGAGAGAGAGAATTTTTGATTTATTGTGTGACGATGAAAATGACGGGGCTGATGCCAGTGAGGCGTTCGGTGGAGATCTCGACTTATTTTTTTGACACGTGTATAATGATAATAATTGCGTCTGCCATCTCATAGTGCCACTAGTTTCGGTGCCGTGTAGCTGTGTGTCAAGTGTGTCTGTGTTCCAGCTGGTTTTGGTCTCTTTTTATGTTCTGGTCTGTTTTGTTCTCCAGGCTTTTACAACTTTGGGAGCGTTATGGATATGACTTCACCAGTGAGATCACACCAGGCAGACTTTTAGAAGTGGCTGAAATGGTACTGACTGTCCATCAACAGCAACAACAACAAAAAAAAAACTTAAGCTGCCCCCTAGTGGCAAGTCTGAGATCAGCTCACCTTGATGTTTACTTCCTTCCAAATAGAAAACTGATCTGGGGCCTGTGTCTAGGCGTGCCTTCACATCTTTGACTTTTCAACTTTATTTAACTTTGAAAGGTCTGGAGCTCTACAGAATTTATTTCTAAGAGGGAACCAGGAAGAAGTTTATGGACCCACAAGTGTTCAATATTTAAAAACAAAACATCCATCCATTCATTTTTTTTATACCACTTATTCCCAATGGCGTCGCAGGGGTTTGAGGGGGGCTGGGTCCTATCCCAGGGCGGGTTGCACCCTGGACAGGTCGCCAGTCCATCAGGGCCACACAGAGACAAACAACCTCACACATTCACTCCTAAAGACAATTTAGAGTGTCCATTTAACCTAACATGCACTCACTCAAAGTCCCATTATTTACTGACATGTCAATGACAAATCAAACCATCTTTTTGAGAAGTTTTGCATTTCATTTGTGCCTTTCAGTGGAGTATTGTTTATAGTGGCCTATTTACAAGTCCATATCGGTCCACACAGTCACCCAAATTTCATTGAATACTTGCTAAATTTGATCCACTCGTTAATGTTTATGACACAAAAAATGACTACACACAAGAATAGGGTGTCAGCATTTTGTGAATTTGTCACAATATTAATTGTAAGCTTTAAAAGGAGAAAAAGGTGAGGACAGTTACATACAACATTTTAAAGCCAACATCTTATTATGTCTCCTTAGTTTAAATCTAGGGGAAACCAGTACATGAATATGTTAGCAAAGATTTGTTTATTAATTATTCTACTTTCTGTTGTGACAATCTTTGTTTTTAATTTTGATTTTATTGTGTATCAGGACTTTGGCACAACTGTCGCTCGTAGCAGCTAACTGGCTAATTTAGCAAAAATTATCATGAATCGTAAAGCTTCAATTTCATGAGTTGTGCTCCTGTTGTATTAAGAAAATAAGATTTCTGAAAAAAGACATTTAGAGAAGAAGTTATTTAAAAAATCCTTATTAATGCTTTAAATCTAACATATTATTTATTTGAGATATTTTACATAATTTAACTAATTGATCAATTTGGGTTTATTTATTGAATATTGAACACTTTGGATCCATATGGTCGCCCAGGAAAAGTAAGTTAGCGTTTGTTTTTAGATAGCAGCATGCAGTTTTAGGAAATACATGTAGACTTAAGACACATTCCCCTTTATATGTGATCAATGGCCTGAAATACAGGACTAATCTCAGGGCTTTTGCAGTGATAAAGATGGGCTAACTCAGGTTTGGCTTTGAAAGAATAAGAAAAAGTTTCTCACTCAGGTCTTTGGTTGACCTATGTTGCTTTCCATTTTAAACTCAAAGTTTAATTTTCTTGGTTGACAAATAAAAGCATGAACCTGACTCATATAATGTATGATGTAAAGTGTTGATCTAACTTTGAGGCCAAATGGAAAGCGCTATGTCTCTTCAACTGGAATCTGTGCCCTAAACTAAAGAGCCAAAATGGTCCCCAAAACAGGGAGGTGTCAGTGACTTCCTCTGTCTTAAACTGTGAAAGAAACAAAAGCATTTTGGAGCCATGATTGAAACTCTTATCTCTTTCATCCATACATTTTGCCCCCTACTGTGTTACTTAGCCCCGTCCACAGGTCCTGTTCAAAGGTGTTTCTGAGTTTGCAGTGAGGTCTACAAATACATGGATTCCAAAAGCATTTGTATCATTTTTTGCATTATTCGTCCCCCTGTCCTGTTTAATTAATGGAAACATGGAAGTGGAGTCTTTCAATTCAATCAGTTCTGCTTCTGTGATCAAAAAAAGGTGTTATTTTGAATCACTGTTTAACGATGTCACTGATTTTAGTGTCCAACTGTATATGTGGTAAAAAGTATGAATACAATAAAGATGACAAAGTGATAGGTGTTTTTGGTGTTTTTAAGGGGTCATGTGGGGCAGTTGGAATGTGATTTTTTATTCACATAAATGTAATTCTAGGTTAATACGACCTCAGTTGAAGAAAAAACCCTGATTTATGAGACTCTGTCATAATCTAATCAAAAACTGAACCAAAATTCAGAGGTTACATGTGGAAAACTGAGTCCACACCATGATCCAGCATCTTTTCTGTCAGGTTGAGTTCTAGACTCTGATGGATCATTGTGGCATCTTGATTTTTTCTCTGTTTCAGATTTTCTGTTGTATATCTGCTGATGGTCTGGTATCTGGTATCTTTGCCCTGTTGATGAGCCATTTTTTAGTCCAGCTTTAGCCTCACCTTTGACTCTCAACGCTTTGGTTTCCAGAGGAGTTCATGTTGGACTTCCAGATCCGGCTGCGGTTTCAGATGTTTGCTCTGATTCTGCCTCTGAATTCTGTTACTCCTCCTGGAAAAACTGAGAAAAACCGTTCTCAAACACACTAATGACAAGCAGCTCCTGGCGGTTACCTAAACTCTTACCATATCTTAGTTTTTCACTGCAGTTTGGCCAAATATCTAGTTAAGAAATACAATGGCGTGATGTAATTGATCATGATATTGTTCATCTGAGCTTACATTTACTTGGATTCAAGACCTGAATTAAATTATTTTTGCTTTTAAAATGCTCTGATTGATAAAATCCTACATTTAAAAAGGGTTTACTTTCTTGTTCACATCACCATGGAAGAGAGGCTTTTTCTTGGAGTCTACCACCATTCCCCCACAGTGGGCACCAAAGTTTTCACTCAAAAGCTGGCAGTGTTCAGTCGATTGTCACGCACAACATTGCTTTTACAGTTAATTAACGTCTCCGTCTGGTCCTTTAGCATGTTTGCATTCATTTGTCTGGGTGTGGGACATTGTTTCAGTTTCTGTGTTAAGACAGCACCCCAGTGCTGTAATGTGATCTTTTGGACCCATCTGCTCCTCCTCCTAAAATAACCCATTCCCATAGCCAACCAAGACACACACACACACACAGACACACACAGAAGGAATAAGAGGCTCTGTACCACATTAGCACTTCTGACACTCGAAGTCAGTGTCAAACATTGTCCATGTGTCTGCGTGCTTCTCTCTGAAAGCGAATATGCCGTATTACCTCTGAGGGACGTTGTGATGAAGGTGCTGCAATATTGTCATTGACAGCTCAGATTAACACGGCCCCCCCCCTGCAGGAGTCTCTGTTGGTGATACGGGATTAGGATAGCAATTCTCGTAAGGTAGGTGGTACATGATTTATGCTCCATTATGGACCTGTTGCTGATGGTTCCCCAGAGAGCAAAGCAACTACCAGACAACTTCTGTTGTGTGTAGTGCTGACGTAATAATTGAGACATGTGCAATGAAAAAAAAAATCTGCTTTTAAGATCAGCAGCAGCATTTTAATTCATGTTTTGAATTTTTATACGTTTTGCTAAATAAGTCATTGCAGTGGTGGAAGCCGTTGGACATAAAATAAAAAAAACTCAAATCTCCCGCTGCTATTTACAGATTTTGGTGGGACGTCTTTTTTGGGGGGGCTAGAGAACAGGTGGTGGTGCAGGGCTGGGCTGGCCGGTGCACTCAACGCCCCTGCAGTCGGCCTGACTGCAGTCAGTCAGCTCAAACTGACCAACGGAAACCTTTCATCCTCAGGAAAGATGATGATGGTGAACGACGTCACTCTGGTGGAGTGTAAGATCGATGACAGCGACGAAGAGCAGATGACCACTCCTCCTCCTCCTCCAGAGTTTGCGTCCAAAGCTTCAACTCCAGCACCCAAATCTCCGACCCCTCCCTCAGTCCCCGTTACACCCGCACCCACCCGCCCCGTCAGCAGGGACCCCAATGGCATCAACAGGCACCTAAAGGTCATTGCAGCTACTTTGTTGGAGCTTATGGCTGTATTTTAGCTTCAACAACATCATAACATAATATGATAAACGTGTCATATCGTAAAGGTTTGATTTGGCTTATTCCCATAAGCTGTCTGCTCTTTTTGGCGGGGGCTTTGAAGTTTATTCTACCTTTTGCAACCTTCTTTTTCCTGAGTCTCTCTAAAGTGGAGATCCTTGAGGCTTGATGCACAGTCCTAGATAATTTGCTTCTAACATGTTTTCATTTGGTAGATATGTAAATACTTTATTAATCACAAAGGGAATGTAAGTCAAATACTTTAAGAGTGTGTTAACCTCAGAGCTATGTACCTATGAGTAGTTCTGAAGTGTCTGGACCTTTTTATGCACATCTTTCTCAGCCTTTGACGACCCTAGAGCAACTAACATACACAGCAATCGTGAAGGAGTATCTTGGTTTTGATGTAGTTGATGAGTGTGTCCCTGAGCCAAATCAGCATAAAAACAGTTAAAAGATCAGTTATTCATTTCAGCTACATGAAGTTGTGAATAAGTCTGAGCACTGTGGAAATCTGGAAGCTGGAAAAAGGGAACTGTGAGGTCTGCAAAATGGGAAGCCGACAATTTGGTAAAAACACGGAAAAACTCACACCCCCAAAAAGGTTGCTAGTATCTGCAAGGGCAATCTTAGAATAACAGGCAACAAAAGCCAAAAGATTTGAGGGCTTTAAAAACAGTAACGTGCTCCTGTTTTTCTTATTAAAAGCAAAAGACCTCTACCTCACTCTGTTCTGAAAGACAGTGAGGTAGAGGCCACCAGGAGTTACTTGTCAGAGTGACATCCGAGGCTTAAAAAGGGAGAAAAGTGAGGAAAATGTCAGAGCCATATTCTTTATTTTCCTTCCCTGTAGCTGGAGGTGAGCGACGTTCTGGCAGAACCGAACACACCTCACACCATAGACGGAGTCTGGATTTACAGCCTTTCTGGCTTCGAGAGGACTCGTATCTGGACCTACCGCTGCCTCTCCCTGCTTTTTGCTGTGCCCTTGGCTCTCCTTTGCGGAGTTTTTCTGGCTATTCTTGCCTGCCTACGAGTCTGGTACGTTGTGGCCAAGTCATGTGAACACCTTTCATCAAAAAGCCACAGAAAATACACCAGAAGTGGCTCAGGATACATAAACGCACATGAATGTACTCTTATTGTGCCCCTATTTTTGATAGTGTTTTCACTAGATGTTGCATCTATGAAAAATGCCGCAAATTATAGTTAACAAGGTTTCTAGAGAGCGGTTAACTAAAAACTTGGTATATCTCAGTATGGTGTGCAGTATGTTCTTAAAATATATAAGGAAACTGGACAACAGGAGGTGAGAAGAAATGACAAGCCTAAAAACAATCTAATAATACTGATCATTTAAGTTTATTGAGTACCTAAATTTGACTTTACATGGGATGAAATGTAGCATTTCAGGGTAAAGACATTCAACACATAAAATGATGAAAAGTTCACCCACTGAAATAGAAAAAGAAACTCCTGCAAAAGTGACACAGCCTCCACTCTCTACCTTGTCTGTGCTCTGATGTCTCTGCTCTTTCTCCTCAGGTTTCTAGTTCCTTGCGTTCAGCTGAGCAACACCTTCCTCCCGTGCATGCGGTCTTTGTGTATGTGTGCTGTAAATGTTTTCATCTCTCCTTTTTGTGTGTCCGTTGCTCTGTGCTGCAGTCAAATGGCAGTTTCACTGTCAAACAAGGACCCGGATCAAATAAGAAACAAAGACAATGTATGACTGAGAAGTATTGAGTAAACTTGTGTGTATAAAAAGAGTGAGTTCAGTGTGTGCTTTTATGTCTTTTTCATCTCAGATTACTTAATATTACTTGTATTTATCGTTATTAATAGCTTTTACTATTGTTAGTGATCAAAATTGTGCATGTCAAAAAACTTTATCAAGCTGTAAATAAAGTAATAAAGTACTAGACAAAATAAATCCGTCAAGCTCTTTTGTTTTCTTCATAAAATAATCTAAAACTTTAGTAAATGAGTCTAAAATAAAATTCTAAAATACCATCCATGCTAGCTGGATGGGTCGTCAGTCCACCACAAGGTGAACACAGAGACAAGGGGGAGTGGCGTATTCCGATTTTTCTCAAACCCCTGAATGCATCACAACTCATCATCACAACGTTCTGACGTAAGCACGCTGCGTGCATCCCAACGCCGCCATTTTTCTTGTTATGGTGGACTGGGAGCTGTCTTTTCAGATCTAGAAAGGTCTGCAGTTGATTTGTAGACTTTTTGTCCCCTTTTTACCGTCTAGATTTTTAAGAATAACGCCAAAACAAGACTAAAACATGGCGCAGTACAAAGGAGCTGCCAGCGAGGCCGGCAGAGCGATGCAGCTGATGAAGAAACGAGAAAAGGAAAGGGAGCAGTTGGAGCAGCTGAAGCAAAAGATAGCGGAGGTTTGCAAAGTTTCACCATCAGTATCCACGCAGTTATTAATGCTTTAACTCTTTGTATGAGGAAAATCACGATGCATTTATATTACAGTGCTGAAGTTGGGTCGTGGTTTGTGAATTATTAAAGGGCTATTTCATATTTTTTTTGTTTTTGTATCTATGTCCTGTTTAACACAAGAATAGATGGACCTCTAAAATCTGTACTGAATTGTTGTAATGAAGATGTGGAGTCATGAATGCCTTGGTTATGATTTTTTAATAACTTTTCTGTCCTTATAAGTAAAGAAAAGAGCTGTTCATTTTGTTCTTCTCTCACATTCAAACCTTTACGTTTGGTTCTGAATAAAAACTACAATAGTTAAACCTTTGAAAACAGTCTTCTTCAGGACAGTGTTAAATTAAATTTAATATAATTTTATCCACTTCCTTTAAGAATCACAAGCTTTGAGCCATGCTCACTTTTAGCTGCAAAGCCTTACAAATACATAGTTACATTGCCTATATTTATTGACAGATTATTCACTTTTTATTTATCATGTAATTATTTTTGTTTGAATAGTACTTAGGTGGGCTGAGATTGTGTTGAAATCACTTTAGGTGACTTTTGATGACTGATTTGATGTCAAAGGGAATGTGTCTGTAGCTATGGAAACCTTTTGTGAGCGGTGCTCTTTTTTTGTGTGTGTGTTCTTGCAGGACAACATGGTGAAGTCCAACATTGATAAGAAATTCTCGGCTCACTACGATGCCGTAGAGGCGGAGCTGAAGTCCAGCACAGTCGGTAAGAGCGCCCGGCATCGCGAAAGGAACAGAGCGGAGCCAAAACCCTACTGATAACATGTATTTATTTTTGTTGCTTTTTAACTTCCCGCTCAGGTTTGGTGACGCTGAACGATATGAAGGCAAAGCAGGAGGCGCTGGTGAAAGAGAGAGAGAAGCAGCTGGCCAAAAAGGAGCAGTCCAAAGAGCTCCAGCTGTGAGTCTTTACAGTTTAATGTGATCTCTCCTGCTGGTCAGCAGGACTACAGGCTATCAGGCTGCATTTTCACCTCAGGAAACTTTTCCTGGTGCAAAAAGACACTAAATTGGCATTTCTGGGGGAAATCAAGGGTTATTTAGATTTTTTTAGATGCACACATCTTTTGTTTGAGCAGAGGATGGAGAGGAAAAGGTATATGGCAGAGGTACACGGCAGCATGTGTTTTTTGTGGGCCTGCTTTTAAAGCTTATTTATCTCCCTCTGAAGAACGCAGCAGAGTTGTTCCATTCAAAGTTAGGTCTCATTAGCAACGCAAATGAGGCCGCAGTCATCAGTCACTATGGGAACAAGCCCACGTATTGTATTGAGTTTAGGCAGCTCATCCAAAAGAGGAAAGGACCTGTGGGAGGCTTTGAAAGTATCAACATGCTTGGATGATTTACAGTTCAAAATTTCACGCATTTGTGATCAGCTGCAGTTTACCCAAATATATGCACATCCCATGTTTTATATAAAAAGTGCATTCATAATATTTCCAGTTTTGTCGTTTTTGTTTTGTTTTTTCACAGATTTGAGCAAAGCCTTTTTTAAATTAGATTAGGGAATGATTTTGTTGTGACAAAACCTCCACAAGGTGGCTGTAATGCACTGAAAAAGATCTCAGGACTTTCTCTGAGAACTTTGACAGAAAATCCATGTGTGTCGACGTATGCTTTTACCCTGTGCATTGCATCGTTTTAAAATGGGTGAACGAGGCAAAAAAAGTTCTAATTTCGTTGTTTCGAAGGGGTCGCAGTTTTGTTTGATGATCAGAAAAAAGTGGAACTCTGCCCCGGTGCTGCATTAGTGGCGGTGTCCTGTCTGCTCAGCATACGCCGTCCGATTGCCATACACATAGCACAAATTTAAGAGAATAACATACCGGAAGTCTACTAGGCTACTTTATTTATGCCTGATGTAATAAACAAAAAGCTGGATCAGCTCGATCCTTCTCTAAATACGCTTTAAACCACCTCAACGCACGTGTATCCCTTTAGTTATGTACAAAAAAAACAATTTAATTACTTGTTGTTTTTTGGGGCTATGACGAACTATTGACAACAATTTGAATATTTGATTTGCCCTGAGCTGCATGGTGGTGTGGTTCTCTTCGGGTTCTCCGGCTTCCTCCCACAGTCCAAAAACCTGCATGTTAGGTTGATTGGACATTCCAAATTGCCCTTAGGAGTGAATGTGAGTGTGTGTGGTTGTTTTGTCCTTGTATGTCATGTGTGTGGCCCTGCGATGGACTGGCGGACTGTCCAGGGTGTACCCCGCCTCTCGCCCGTTGACCACTGGGATAGGCTCCAGTTCTCCCCGCTTAGGGAATAAGCGGTAATGATAATTGATGGATGGATTCGAGTGATAAATATGTCAAACATTGTTGTAAAAGGTTTTTGGAAGCACTTCCCAAACCTCCATGTGGTTGCACTCACTCAGGACCATCACTGGCTCCCTCAGAGACAATAAAACATCTTTACGACGTTTTGACTCAGAAAAGGTGTCTGGTTTTCACATCCCGGGGAGCACTTTGTGTTTGGAGTCCTTTGGTCTACGCAGATCAATTAGCCCACCTCTGTCTAATCCAATTGCTGCCAACTAAATGCTCTTACCTCACGATTTTACTCCGCCTGAGGACCCATCGTGCAATCATAATGGAACCAGTTGGACCTGGATAAGCCATGGCAGGTTTATTTGTGCTGCATATTTCCGGTAGAAGACAAAAACTTATTCTATGTAAACATTGTAAAGAATCAGGGCAGCTAAAAGAGCCTTTATAAGTCTTCAAAGGAACCATAGAAGTGGATTACAAACAGATAAAGCTGAATTAAATTGAGACAGATCAAACGTCAACAATATAAGTGACGTGTGGGAGCATAGGATTTGCAGCCAATGGAAAGGTTTTTGACCATGATTGTAAACAGAATTTCGGGGATGCCGTGGATGCGATGAGGGACATGAAAGCTAAACGTTTCCACTCCACTTTTAGTTGCAGCTCTGTCCTGATGAGACCTCCGGTTAGTTCAGAAGGAGCTCAGTTTCCCCCCCCCATTCAGCGCCACTTTGCTATTTATTTATTTATTTTTTTTACAATTTTGCATTTCTTTTTAGGGTCTGATGCCTCCAAACAGTGGCCGTTTTAGCACCCCCTCTCAAGCCGGGTACCTGTCTGCACATGTTGAGAAACATGTTGAGCAACATGTGCACACAGGGCTGAAAAGGCATGTCGGGCCTTGGCTCAAACCGTGGACAGCTCTGCATGAAAACCTTGAATTAAATGACATTGCAAGTGGAGGGAAATGTATTTTATCATTTTATCCGGCCTACGTTTGAGGGTTTTTTTCCCCAAAACAATGGCACTGCCAAGGCAAGAGCAACCAAGTACTAACTAGAGTTGCAAACGATGGATGGAATGAATTATGACTGATATGTTTAAGAGTGACGCAGCACAGAATGTCAAAGAGCACAAATCTGGCAGGCAGCAAAGGCAATTTAGAAATTAACCAATGAGGGGTAACTACAAATGCATGTTTGGTGAGGCAACAAGGGGAAAAAGAGTGGTAAAACTAAGCGAAGTGAACGCAAGTCAGGATCAACTTGAACAAGGAGGGAAATAATGAGGAACAGCTTCTAAGAAACCGAAAAACAGAGAACCCAAAGATCGTGACATCAGTTGTTTGTTTTTTTTCTCTGCAGCAAGCTCGAGAAACAGAAAGAGAAGAAGAGGAAGGAGGAGCAGAAGAGGAAAATAGCCAGTCTTTCGTTCAATCCTGAGGATGAGGAGGAGGAAGAGGAGGAAAACGAAGAGGACGACGGTGAGTGTCCTTTTCCCAACTCCTTCCAACCTTTGCTGTGTTTTTGCTTCAATAATCCCTCAAAAGCATCCAGATTTGCTCTGAAATACGCCTTTCGGCAGCACATTTGGGCCAAAATGATGGAATCGTAGTGAAAACACGTCTCTGCCAGACCAACAGCAGCTGTTGTGTGTGGCCCATTATCCCAGAAAACTGCTTGGTCCTGGCAGCTCGTTAGCATAATGACACCCATAAAACACCCAAAGGAATGAGAGAGAAAGCTATGGGACGTGGGATGTAGCCTCAATTAAACAATAGTTTTGTTTTTTAATACTTTCACAAAATCCGTGTAAACTCTCTACTTTTTGTCTAAAAACAGCATTATTTCCTGCCTCGCAGCTCCTGAATTCTGTCCACTGTCTTTATTATGATGGGAACATTCTGTTTTCTAAGTTTTTGATTCAGTATGACACTGAAACCTCAATTTCCCAAAAGAATTGCAATAATTTTGTGGAATTGTTTACATATATTCTTTCCCATCTGCTCTCTTATGTAATTGATTAGGTCTCCACCAGTCTGCTTAACACCTGGTCTTACTGACTTGTCTTCTAACTTTCTACTTCCTTATCTGTTCTTCCTACTTGCCAATCTGTTCTTTGCTTCCTTACTTGCTTTCCTAATTGCCTAACTAACCATTTCCTATGTTAAAGATATACATATTTACATATTGTCTTACTTTCCTATCTATTTACTTATTTTTTTACCTACTTTTCAAACTAACGTATATATATACTCGCTTACATATTTACTTAATTACTTACATTTGTATTAAACTATCAGCCAACTCACTTTCATGCTTTTCTTGCTTTTCTTTCTTTCTTGTCTATCTAGTTACTTACTGACTGTCTTGGCATTAATTAACACGCTCGCAGCCTGTTGGCTGTACACGCAGTGGCTATCTCAACTATACTTCTGGCTTTTAGGATAACTCTAAAGCAAGTGGCCCTGCATTTGAAAAACCAGATAATACTCCTCCCTAAGAAATCTGAACGTATCTTTCTTCTAAATAAAGATGTCCCATTGATTTTACTTATAGATGCTCCTGTTAAGAAGAAGAAATTGGGGAAAAATCCAGATGTGGACACCAGTTTCCTTCCAGATCGAGACAGAGAGGTGAGTTCATGTGAATTATACTGCCCGGAGTCTTCTGTGTGCTCAGTTTTGTCCTCATTTAGCTGATTTAACCATGAAGACAGCTTCAGATTTCAAGCAGCCGAACACCACGAGTGAAAGAAGCAGTTTGTGGAGAAGAGGCAACTCCATGTCCTGTTCACTGGGGCCGAGGCTTCTTTCTCGGCATCTTCTATGTATTTACAGGCTCAGGCTCAGAGTTTTAAAGCTGTTGTGCCAGCAGGCAACAGGTCCAGCCAAGTCTGCATTAACTTGGCACGATAACACCACCAGAGACATTTCACGGCACTGACCCTGCCACCTTCTTTGTGTTCAGGAGGAGGAGAATCGGCTGAGAGAAGAGCTCCGGCAAGAGTGGGAGCTGAAGCAGGAGAAAATTAAGAGTGAGTTTTCCGCATTCTGTCGACGCTTTGAAGTTCACAGACTGAAGATATTACACTGACGTTGCTCCTGTTTGCGTCCCTGTGTAAAAATGCCCCTCAAAAATATGTCAAATCTCTCCTTCTCTGGGCAGCAGACTTTGTTCATTGAGTCACAAACATTTCAAATCATTTGGAGGTGATGTGCAGGATGTGTTTGCATCTCCTGAGGCATTCTGCGGAGGGCTTTTCAACTGCATTTAGCTCTGGTGGGGACATTTTTTTAGGACAGTTTCCCAGTGCTGATCTCCGATTTTCCACGTCATCGTGCCTTTAGTTGTTGGCGGAATCAGAGGAATAGTATCTAAACCAGACCTTGAAAAGACTGATCCATGCATTTGTCTTTAGCAGGTTAGATTACTGGAATAGCCTGCTCACTGAGCTCTAAACCAGCTTTAGACAGCTGCAGAACATCCAGAATGGTGCTGCTAGAGGTCTGACCAGAACCAGGAAATACCACCACATCAGTCCAGAGCTCAGTTTTCTGCTCTGGCGTCCTGTAGCTCAGAGACTTTAAAACAGCTGAAAATGTGTCTATTTTCTATTTTCTATATCTATTTCATCTGCATCTGCTTTAAATCTATTTAATCAATGATTGTGTTATTTAGTTGAACTTAGTTTTAGGCCTGGAAACATCAAGGCTGCTGAGATGCGTTTTATATGATTAAGTCCATGGCCCAAGGCCATTATTAAGGGTTAGATCTGAAAGGGGAAACATTTACAAGTCACTCTTTTATAGGAAAGAGCTGCTGGTCTGCAGATGGTCTTTCGATTTTGTGTTTAATGCACAAGGTTTTAGTACAACCTATCTATCTATCTATCTATCTATCTATCTATCTATCTATCTATCTA